CGCCCACCTCGAACGGCGGCCCTTCCACGACTGTGGCATCCTACTGGTATAATTTCCTGTAGTACTATCTCTGGCCGCATCGTCCTTACTGATGTCAGTAAACAAATGCGTCCTTCCGGTCGTTCTACCCGGAAGTCGGAACGGTACGTTCCCAAGGGCTCCACGCACAAGGTTGGTGACCGCCAACAGAGCTCACGTCTCTGGCTTCAGTGGAGGTGGCTGTTGCCCGGAGCTAGCCGCTAGGGTTAGGCGTGGCTAACCGTTTTTCCTCGCCACAACCCGGTCGGAAGTAACCGGCCTGCCATCCGGTTCATCGCTCGGGCTTTCGGGCCACGCAGTCCACCAGTTGAGTCATTACTAGAGACCTGAAGCTCTCACTTGTATGTTTTGCTTTCCTCGCTCACTTGTGCTCCCGCTTCCACTGTTCTCGCGGACGTCCTCAAGGAGCCTAGTGCAGTGCGACATGTCGTGTCGCACGTGATAATCTGACTCATCGTGTCCACGTCCACACTGTGTCTCGTCCACGTCGTCTCTCACAGTCGCATTGTCCCTCCAACCAAAAAGTACGATGGCTTCATCCTTGGCCTATGACGTGCTTGTGCAGCCCGATTTGCGTGAGCTCATCTTTGCGTACCAAGCCGGCGTCTCGTGCACACTGCATCACATGCTAGCGCTCTACCATCAAAAGCTCGACCAAGTGCAATATCTTTACCACCCCGACTTGAGCGAACTGGTCGACCCGATTCGTCTTCGCGGCTACATGCTCTGCCGCCTCATCCGCGAAGGCTACTGCGACGAAGCCAACGAGCTCTTAGACACGTTTCCGGGCAGCAACGACATTCGGCTGCCGTCGCGCCTCGCGCCCTTGCTTCGGTGGACGATCGATAGCGCGGCCAAGCACCGCAATTTGGCGCTCATCAAGCGGCTCCACGCACGGGGCCTCGGCGCAGCTTCGGTGCGAGCCATGGACCTCGCGGCCGAGCACGGGGACTTGGCCATTGTTGAGTTTCTCCATACGCATCGACGCGAAGGGTGCTCCAAGATTGCGTTCAAAAAAGCAAAGAAACACAAGGAGGTCCTGGCGTTTCTCAAGGCAAATCGACCCAACGACGCGCGGATCCGGCCACCGGTCTACGGTGAGCCCAAGGTGCCGCTGTCTCATGTGTTGACGTGTGCGATTCAGTAATCGTGAGCTCTAGTTTTTAATTGTACATTGTCCTGTGTGATTACTATAGATAAACAGCGTCCGGAGCTCCTTGTGGAGTTGTGGAGAGATGTCAGTCGCAACAACCTCGGCCCTCGGACCTCGACCTCGCACCTTCTGGTACGACGTGGGATGTATGACTCGAAGTATCCCATTTCCTGCGGTCGATTGTTGAACGCTGAATAGCAAACAATAGGATGGATTCGTTGCTTTCTCTAAAACAATTGTTGTTTACGGCTTGGACGTTTCAAAACGACATTGTGTCTACGACAGTTACATGTCGTCATGTAACTGCCATCGAAGGGTGCAGCTGAACCGTTTCGTAAGCGAGAATGTACGGTCTACAGAAGGTCGTACAGTACATTCCTGTACGTCCGGTACGTTGGTGTCCAACGGGGTTGGATTGACGTCGCTGCAGCATATCTCTCGCACTGTTCGCGTATCAACACAATGGCGCCCCGCTGGCGACAACCGCGACGCGCGCCGACGTCTACGGCCGCGGCAGTGGTCTTCGGCCAAGGAGACCTTTTGGCACTCATCTTTGGCTTCCAAGCTGGCCTCCCGAAAGCGCTCAGCGACGCCGTGCGCGCCTACCGCGACAAGCTCCGCCACGTGCACTACCTCGACCACCCGGATCTGCGCGAGCTCACGTCACCGCCGCTGCTGCGCGGCTACATACTGTGCCGCCTCGTCGCCGAGGCGCGGATCTCCGAGGCGCTACTTCTTCTGCGCTTCTTCCCGCTTCCAAAGGACGTTCTGCTCCCGCGTCGGCTCGTGCCCTTGACCCTTGCCGACACGATGGACAATGCGGCGCGCGCCGGCAGTCTGCCACTGCTTCAGGCACTGCATAGCCGCCGGTTTGGCCGCTGCACATCGCTAGCCATGGACGTCGCGGCCGGCGCCGGTGACCTCGCGATCGTTCAGTTTCTGTACCACGAGCGTCGCGAAGGCTGCTCGGTAAACGCGTACGACGTCGCACAGCGTCACCCGCGCATTCTCGAGTTCCTTGAGGCGCACCGCCCCGACCAACCGCGGGGCACGCGACGTTCGCAGCTCGGACGTCTCGCGGCGTCAGTGCTCACGACCCGGCCGTTGTTTGCGCGCATCACGCAGTACCAAGACCATATTCCGCGCGCGCTTGTCGACGCTTTCGCCGAGTTTAGAGAGAAGTTGCATCACATGCACTATCTGGATCACCCTGGTCTGTGCCACTTGGCGACCGACATATCCCTCTTTCGCGGCTACGTGCTGTGCCGGCTGATCCACGACGCCCGCGTCCCCGAAGCTCTTCTGCTTCTGCGAACATTTGGCCAGCGTCGAGAGATAAAGCTCCTCTCGGCCCTCCCAAACGATCTGAAGCGAACTGTCGACAACGCCGCGGCCGCCAAAAGTCTCGCGCTTGTTGCGGGCTTGCACGAATGTCGCTTTGGCAAGTGCACGTCGCACGCCATGGACATTGCGGCCGCCAACGGCGACCTCGCGATCGTTCAGTTTCTCCACGAACACCGCACCGAAGGCTGCACGCGCCGCGCGTTTGAGATGGCAGCCAAGCACAAGCATACAGAGGTGCTGGCATTTTTAACCGCGCATCGGCCAGCGGACCAGGCGATCGTGGCGGACACGCCGGCGTGCATACTGCAATAAATGTCCTTCTGATACTATGAACAACGCTGTATATATAAGAACGTGTTTCGCGTTATCTTCCTTCCCTAGACTTCGCTCACGTAGAGACTAGCAAACTCGTTCTTCGGCATTCGCTCGCCGGTCCGTGGCTGCGCAGGCGGCGGTGCGTGGGCTCGTCTTGCTCTTTGTAGTCGCCCGGGGCCGCTTTCGGCCACGAGTGACGCCCATGCCGTCACGCTTCGTACAGGCCTTTCAGGCGTCGCCATTGCGGGAAACGCTACGCAGTTTCTTGAGCTCATCGAGAGACGCCAGCGGCGGTCGAGACTGTCGTCAACGGCTTGTGTCCGTCCTTTTCGAGACTAACAATATGGACAACGTTGTTCATCTAACGACCGCAAGCGTCATCTACGATTGGTATAACATTTTGGAGCTACTAGTATACAATATGACAAAATGGCAATGTCGTGACGACGCACCTCGCTGCCAATGCAAAAATGGCGCGGAAAAATGGGATAGAAAAACACCACCAAATCAACCTGCAATCTGGTGTGGACAAGCTGTTGGACACAGCGTGCGACATGATGTCTGTCCATCCTGGCTTCCCAGGCAGTTTTAAAAAGAGACCAAGGACCTACAGCATCACCATGAGCGCGCTCGTCTCATCGTCGAGCTTGGCCCGCGACGTGCTCACGCAGCCCGATTTGTGGGAGCTCATCCTCGCTTACCAAGACGGCGTGCCGTGCTCGCTACAGCACATGTTCCAGCTCTACTACGCCAAGCTCGAGAAGGTCCAGTACCACATCCACCCGGAGCTCAACCAAATGCAAGATCCGCTGTACATGCGCGGGTACCTCCTCTGTCGCCTCCTCCAAGACGACCACTGCGACGTCGCCCACACATTCCTCGACACCTTTTCAAACGACGACGACATCAAACTCCCATCGCGCGTCTCGATCCTCATCCGCAACACGATCGACAATGCGGTCCGCGCGCGCAACTTGTCGTTAGTGAAGCGACTGCACGCTCGACCAGCCATTGGCATTTGCTCGCAGCTCGCCATGGACATTGCGGCCGCCAACGGCGACCTCGACATCGTCCAGTTTCTGCATCAACATCGCACCGAAGGCTGCTCCCGGCTTGCATTCAAGAAGGCCAAAAAACACAAGGCGGTCCTCGCATTTCTCAAAGCAAATCGCCCGCAAGACGAACATCGACGCGAAACACGCGTTCGCGGCGAATATGATCCCGGCGCAGGAGCGATTGGTTGCATCGTGCAATAGACCATTTCCTACTAATATACATTTGAGCGAATGAAGAAGAAGGAGATTGCTAGTCTCTACGTATGCGAAGTCTGTGTAATTATGAAGATAACGCGAAACACGTTCATATATTTTTATATACCATATACATTTGTCGTTGGATCATCGTCATGGGACTCTACAACCTGTCCTCGATTCTTTTTCGAGTCGTGTCAAAAATGGAGCCGACCCAAGGCGTCGCAGACGTTGGATGGTGTACGAAGACTCCAAGGTTTCTGAACCCTTGGAAGCGTGCAGTGTCGACGCAATATGGGACGAACCAGAGTTTCGTCGTCGGGCCGTACTACTTACAGTCAAGAGTAGAGAATGCATGGACCCTAGCCACAGTGTGGCGTTGTATAGCTTTCTAGCTCTCGGATCCGTGCTTCTTTCAACGATGCCGACGCCGTTCTGCTTACATATATAAATTGTACTGGTTTGCTTCAATGTTACTCTATCCGCGCCCATGTCCTATCTCGCAGTCTCGCGCTTTTGCATAGGCACCTCGACAAATGCTCGGTGCGCTCTGCAGCGACGACGTGGCGACACCTTTGATCGCTGTCAAACACGCGTCGCTTACTGCACGACGCAGTCCGCCTTGGAAGCGTCCTTGCCCGTGATCGCGCGGCCATGGGGCTGAAGCGGCATCACATCTTCGTCTGCCGGTCGATACTCGCGGAGGAAGGTCACGACGTCCGTATGCCCGCGCTTGGCCGCAAACAGAAATGCGTCCGACGAACAGCCTTCGCTGCGGTGCTCGTGCAGGAACTGAACGATCTCGAGGTCGCCGTTGGCCGCTGCAATGTCCATCGCATCGCGCGTGCACGTACCGAGCTCGCGTTCGTGGAGCGACGCGAGCAGCGGGAGGCTCCGCGCCCGCACCGCGTGGTCCATCGTGACGGGGTACTTGACGCCGCGGTGCGGAATGAGGAGAAGCGCGTTCGTTGGGCACATTCGAAGCAGCTGCAGTGCAAAGTCAACGTCGCCTTCTTTGAGAAGCTTGACGAGCACGTAGCCGCGGAAGAGCGCGGGTGACGTGCGCGCGCGCAGGTTTGGCTGCGACTTGTAGAAGAGCCGCTCGAGGCGCTCGTTGTAGCGCCGGAACTCGTGGACGAGCGAGTTGGGCAGCCCGTCTTGGTACGAGGCCACGAGGGTGAAGAGGTCCGGGTCCGTGAGCACGGCGAGGCCCGGCCCGCCGACGATGCGCGGCTGGCGCTTGAAGGGCAGCTTGATGTGCATGGTGGACGGCAATTTGTACTCTGGTCGCCTGGTTGACCGAGGATTGGCCAGGACGCGCGTGTCGCAGCTAGACACGGCCACCAACAGGACACAGACGTCTGACAGACTTTCTTCTATACAGTGTCCTCACACCTTTGGTGAATTGATCTCGACACTCGTATGTTATAAGGTTATGCTACATAATAGACGTGGAAAGGGTTGTCGCTGCGTTGGTGTCCTACCTTGTTGATGCAGTGCGGAATTCAGTTGAACATCCAGCGTTTCGATACAGTGGATCGCGCTGCACACGTGTAAGTTGCATGTTTCACGACAGCAACGCAGCCAAACGTTGCACGATCACCACGATTTTGTAGGCCACCGAGCGCTTCGTCGGGTCTTATTCAAGCATCGCCAAGCAGCATTTGGTACGAGCAAGCGGCCAAGTTGCAAGCGCGAGAACAGCATTTCGAGCTGGTATTCTGTTTCAAGATTCTGTACGGAAACGCTGCACACAACAGAATACCAGCACTTGGCTTGATGCTCGCTCGATAACTCGGCTCAACGAAGCACCGCCCAGTAGCACAGCATAGAGTCCACTGTCTTGCAAAAGAGCATATTGCTCTTCCAGGCTTTGCCGTTCTAGCCCGGCTTTCGGCTTCGCATGGGACGGGGCGGCGGCCGTGATGGGTCGCCTTCTGTCCCATCCAACGGTCATTTGGCCAGAGTGCATTCAATGGGCCCCAAGGCGCACACGACCTGCGTCATCTGCTACGACGCGTGCACGCCCGTCGCGTGGTACAGTGCCCTCCTCCGCGCCGTGCTGCGTCGACCGCGGTTGGATCACGACGCATGGCACGAGCTACCGTGCCGCCACTGCGTCTGCGTCGCGTGTTTGCGCCAGTACTTGTCTTTTCCGGGCCCGATGACCTGTCCTGTCCAGGGCTGCAGCGAGGTGATTGGGCCGTGCCACGTACGCGGCCTCACGCTGCCCCCGGAGACGCGGTCGCGTGTCGCACAAATGTACCGCCTCCATAAAGGCCGTGGCGTCGCCTGCCCCGAGTGCCAGTACGTGAGTGTGGCGGGGCTCAAGCCGCGCGTGCCGTGTGCGCGCTGCCGCACCGAGCTCTGCAGCACGTGCCATTGCCGCTGGCACCTCGGCTTGTCGTGCGCCGAGTACCAGCGCCTCTGCAAGACGACGGGGCCACTCACGGCCGACGACGTTGCCTTTTACCACTGCGCACGCGACTGGCGCTACCAGCAGTGCCCCCACTGCGGCATCTTTACGGATCGCCGGTCGGGCTGCGCGGCGATGTTGTGCCGGTTTTGTCAGAAGCGCTGGACGTGGGGCCGGTCCGTGGTCTAGTGTAACGTGCCAACTGTATGAAAAGTCATATTGTGTGGGTGGAAAGTGAGCTCTCGGTTGCCTACGGGTAGCGTGCGTGCCAAGGCGATGACGGGCGGTTGTCTCTAAGCGCGTCATCGACGAAAGCTAGGTTTGCTCCACACCTCGTAGTCTCTTGCGATGCTCGATCGATCATCAGAAGCAACATTTTCGTTATCATGAGCCTCTCTTGATGACAGCCGATACCACTCAAGAGGCCTAGCGTTTTTGAGTTGTAGCGGCCTCCAGCTGGCAGGAGTACCCCGTCCAAGACTACCCCATCCCTCGCCGTGGCAACCCTAGCCCTACCGCCAGCTCGCGACGGCTCCGCCCCACGACGCGTCCTACAGCGTTGATTGACATTCGCACCATCAAGGACATTGACTCCAGCTAGCATATTGAACCATCGCTAAAGTACATGACCCGTCGTGTCGATGACTAATGTCACTTCCTCAAACCATCGACAAGAAAGAACACACCTTGGCTCACTGGACGACACGCGACTGCAGCGGTGGCTGCTTGAGGACATACCCACAGTCCAGTCGATGCATGCGCAAGTAGGCAACGACGTCGTAGCTGTGGAAGATGTCGTCGAAGAAGGCGCGACTTGCTTCCGCGCGATGCGTCACAAGGAACCGAATCGTGGACCAGTGCCGCGACGTGGAGGGCGTTGGTCGAGCAACGCCCGAGCCGGCGTTTACGCAGCGTCTCGAGGAGTGCGACGCTGTGGGCCGCCGCGGCACGGTCCATCGTAAACACCTCGTCGCCGGGTCAACGGCAATATCGCGCTGTTGCAGAAACGTTGGCTAGAGCTGCATCGCCAGTGCCGCGTGCTGGCCTTTGGCTTGCACAAGACGGCGCCGTGTCCTGCCATTCGGTGCGCCGTCGCAAGCGCTTCAGACAGGCCGCCCTGAAACTGCGTCATCTCGTGTTGGTCAAGACGACGAGCGCGATGCCGAGTCGCGTGCGTAGCTCGCATGCGGAACCATATATATATAATATAAACGTGTTCCGCGTTATCTTCATTATGACACAAAGACTTCGCATACGTAGCGCTACGCCCGAATGGGTGGGCGTTGGCTCCAGCACTTGGTCGTTGGGAGTGAGCTGCGCCCGGAGAGATCCATCCTGTGACCCCACTCGCCGAGTCATAGCTCGCGCGAGGTCGTACGCAGGCTCCTGTACTCGGACCACCCGACAGAGGAGTGCAAGCCGTATCCTGTCAAAAAGGGTGCATGGCTGGGTTCGTGCTGATGACCATGTGTTTTCTCACGCATCTGAGTCGCCGTTGCCGCGACTGGCGCCACCGTCGTCGGTCGGCTTCCGAGTTCGTCGGACCAGCACGAGCACCAAGTAGCTTCAGAACGTTCCACGCTGCATTGCCCCAGCGGCCGCAGGACCTCGGCGAGCAAGGTGCCCCAACCCACAAGATAGACAAGCGGTGTTTATTACGACACGACATGGACAACGACTAGCAAGCGACTAGGAGACGACGGGTGGCGCGGTCAGCAGCGTCTGGGCCTTGCGAGACCATGTGCGCACGACGTGTTGCCAATGGCGCTTCTTCCGGCATATGAGCTGCGGGTACTTGGCCTCCAAATACGCAACGATGTCGACAAACTGCCCTTTCCATGCGCGTTCGAGCCCCTCCTGCGTGCAGCCTTCGGTCCGGTGGTCGCCGAGGAAGACGACCATCTCGAGGTGCCCGGCGGCGGCAGCGGCGTCCATGGCTGCTGTCGTGCACCGCCCGAGGCCGCGCGCGTGGAGCCGCCGGACGAGGCCAAGGTCGCCGAGACGCGCGGCCGCGTCGATCGCGTAGAGAAAGGCCCAGTCGCCTTGGGGCGTTGTGAGCGCTGGCGCGGCGTCGAGGAGGCGGTGGGCACGACCGAGATGGCCGTCTGCTATGAGTTTGAAGAGCACGCGGCAGTAGAAGACGGGCTTGGCGCTGTACTGGGCGAGCCACGGGTTGAGCGAGTAGCAGAGGTCGTCGAGAATGCGTGCTTGGCGCGCGCACGCCTTGGCCAGGTCGCGCGGCAGGCCATGTTGGAACGCTGTGATGACGCGAAACACATCAGGCTGCTCGAGCAGCGTCGTCCACGCCGTTGGCGTCACCGACTTGGTCGCTGTGCGTCGCATGGTAAGTTGCCAAGTGGCTTCTGCGGGTTCGATGACCAACTTCAACATCGCACGTCGTCGTTGTCCTTCGGTGGGCGGACGGAACGCAGCAAGGAAGCGTCATACAGGTGCGTGTGGCTGTGGCCAATCCCAGTCCCATGGAGCGCTGCGTGAGCACGTCAAGGCACGGCGATGCTCATAGCCCGTGGCTCGTCTATGGGGCACAGCAGTGTGATACGTCCATCGATGCCGAGGAGCGCACATAAGGACGCACGGTGACGTGTTGCTCGTACAATTTGACTGTGTCGTCGCGATCGATGATTCCACGTGTGACGAGGCGCGACGGCGGAGGAACAGACTTGGCGCACCGTGCCTCTTTTCTCAAGGACTCCTCGCTTGTTCCTGATGGCGTTGTAATTCGGATGGCGTGGACGTTTGCTCGCCGGTGGCGTACACGGCATGTGCTCAACCTAGCGCTAGGGCGATGACAATGATGCGTGCTTCCCGATCATGTGACCACTGGGGTCGAGGAAGGCGCCCACTCAAACCAGCACACGGACGAGAGTGATAGGATTCCATGGCGCTGTTCTTTGCGCTCAAGCAAGAGAGATCCACTGCTCGCGTTTGCGTGTCGCCCACTGCGTCCTGTCCACACTGGCGGTGATGCAATGCAGCTGCGACCCATCTTGAGAAGCAATCTGCGCACCACGCCGAGGTTCCTAGCAGCTCCGAACGTAGGCGTGCGTACGCCTCGACCACGTTCGCCACGGCCATTTCGTATCCAGCACAGCCTCGCATACGACCCATTCCTGGAGCTTGCTGCGTTGCTTTTGTATAAGCGCTGCCCACACAGCGTGCGCCACCCGCCTGCATCGTGTCGGGCTCGTGGATCCTCGGCGGCGACCGCTCGTTCCGGCGGCTCGCACTCTTCTACGCCCACAGTCTCCCGACGCTACCATTGCTGAGCTTCGTGGGCTTCTACCTCTGGCTTTCCTGGCTCGCCTTCTCGTTCGTGCTGCAGCTCATGGTCGCACCGCCAGCGCAGTTTCGCCGACCATGGTGCATTGCGCGATACCGCCAACCACCGCAGCACCTATGTCATGCGTAGAGGAGCGCATGGCCCATGTACATGCAGCCCCAAGGGTCATCCACAAGGCGGTGATGACCCCTGGTCGAGCTCCCTTCGGCATCGATCCTCACTTGCGGTTGCCTTCAAAAGCAAATCTCAATCGCCATCGTAATAAAAAGCATATTTTAATCAATACATTTATTGCAGAATACAAATATATAATCAAAAGTGCATAAAATCAAATTCGAACAATGAATTGGGCGAAAACCTCTCACTTTGCATGTCATCGATTTGATGGGCCCCCTCCTTCGTAATCGTCGGAAATAGTGTACTAAACTTTGATGCTGCGTCGTTCAGGTACGTTTTGCGCTTTCACTAGCGAGTTGAGAGCGGCTATCCGTCCAACAAGTGCGTGGACAATGATTGCACGCAATGAGTAGGCTCGACATGGCATGCAGAGAAGGCTACGCACGATGGTAGCATTCCATACGTTAAATAGTGTACTATCCATCTTTGCGATCGGTCCCTGGTGGGGTCCCTCAAAACCTCTATAATCCGATACAAATGACTGAGCAAATGCCCACCACAAACCGTTTTTGCTGGCTGTCCATCCACCTGCGCCATGCTGTCCCGCGCCGCCGTCCTTCATCGCCGCTTCGCGACGGCCGTCCGCTACCACGCGCAAGGCGTGCCCACGGAAGTCCTCAAGTAGGCGCTCCATGTTGCGCGTGCGTTGGAGGCTCATGCTTCGAGTAGGGTCGAGGATGTGGGCCTTTTGCCCAAGACGCTCGGCCAGCACGAGGTTGCGCTCAAGTTCTTGGCCGCGCCCGTGAACCCCGCCGACCTGAGCATGGTCATGGGTGGCTACGGCATCAAGGCTGCGCTGCCTGCCATTGGCGGTAACGAGGGTGTCGCCCGCGTCACGGCGGTCGGCCAGGCCGTCTCGACGCTCAAGGTCGGCGACCGTGTCATCCCTGCCGCTGCTGGCTTTGGCACGTGGCGCACGGAGGCCGTTGCCAAGGAAGCGGAGGTGCTTGTCGTGCCCGAGTCGATCCCTGTTGAATACGCGGCCACGTTGGCGGTACGAGCGCCGTTGGAGGTTGGACGTGGACCGACGCAAGCGCGTTGTAGGTGAACCCGTGCACGGCGTACCGCCTCTTGGCCGACTTTGCCAAGCTTAGCAAGGGCGACGTCATCATCCAGAACGGCGCCAACTCGGCCGTCGGCCAGGCCGTGATCCAGCTCGCGGCCCTCCGCGGCATCCAGACGATCAACGTCATCCGCGAGGATACCGACTACGCCGAGACGGTCGAGCACCTCAAGGGCTTGGGCGCCACGGTCGTCATCGCCGACCACTACCTCGGCTCGGCCGACTTCAAGCGCCTCATTGCCGACCTCCCGTCGCCCAAGGCCGCCTTCAACTGCGTCGGCGGCCAGAACGGCCTCGAGATCACCAAGGTCCTCGCCAAGGGCGGCGTCGCTGTCACGTACGGCGGCATGGCCCGCGAGCCCGTCATGACGTCGACGACGGCGCTCGTCTTCAACGACATTTCGCTCCGCGGCTTTTGGATGACGGAGTGGGCCAAGCACGCGCCCGTCGAGGAGCGCAAGGCCATGCTCAAGGTCCGTGATCCGCCCATATGTCTATGGCGAGCTCATGCTGTGGTGAACGTAGGAACTGGCAGACTTGATGGCGGCGGGCAAGCTGCGCACGTGGGTCGAGACGCACCCGTTCAGCGACTTTGACGGCGCCTTGGAGAAGGTCATGAACCGGTCGACGAAGCGCAAGGTCGTCTTGTTGATGGAGTAAGAAGCCATCGACGCGAGATATCTGCCAAATGAAGAAGTAAACCCAGACGTGCCACCAATATACCACCATGACGTTGATTTGCTTCATGGTGCTGTTGCGTGTTGATACCAGCAGCGAGCAAGCGATGGCCCTCGCCGACGCCAGCCTCCTCCGCGCATGCTGGCCCTCGTGGAGGCAGCCACGCAGAGATAATGCGGCCGCGCCAAGCGGATGCGAGGCGTCTGCGCCGGCGAGTAGCGACGTGGTCTTTGTCTCGTATTAGGCGAATCGACGGTCGTCGCCTGGGCATGCTTGCCACCTTCAAGGGTTGAAGTTGCAGTCGACCGACGCGCCGATGGCTCCATGTCGGCCGGTGCACGCCGCCGACATGGCCAGCGAATGCCGATGCAACGGCTTTGGCTTCCTAGCGCTTGCGTCTCTCGCATCGCGATGGTCGCCTCACGCTTCATGCGCCTTGGGGTCGGCGCCGAGTTGGCAGATGCGAACGAGCATTTCGCGATTGGCAGCTGCTCGAGAGTCGTAGTAGTACCACCTCCGACGACAAACCGACGATGCTCGACCGTACCGCCACGACCAAGGGCGTCCTACGCTGGCGCTGGGCGGTTCTAAAGGACCAGGTCTACGAAGACGGCTTCCACAAGACTGCAATGCAGAACAAGGTCAACGACGTCAAGAACGACGTGCTCTCGCGGCCGGCGACGACGACGTTCGAGGACTTGACGCGGGCCCTCGGCTTTGAGCTGCGCAAGAGCCAGCGCCAGCGCACCATGGCGAGCTGCATGGACCTCGACGTCCGCCTCCGCCTCGTTGTCGCCGAGGCCCGCGACAAGGACGGGCCCATCATGGTCGCGCACGTCTTCCGCTCGTCGCACACGCCGACCGACCGCAACTACCGCCAAGCCGGCCGCGCCGCGCTCGCCGGCGACTTTCTCATCCACGGGTAGCCATCCCTTGCATCTTGATCGAGGAAATGCAGGCAGCGACTTGCTCCGACGACCCTTGTCGATGACGACTGCAACATGCTTCATGGGCCATGTAGGAGACATAACGACGCCTGGACAAGCAGTCGCATGCGTCGACGCATGTAGGTACGCAGTAGGAAGACGGGCATCAGCCCTCTCTCGAGCAGTGGCGAGCGAGGCAAGGGGTCTCGAAGGACTGGAGGTCGGACGAGGCCAACCCCGGGGAGTGCTTGCTTGGCGAAGCATGCTCGCGTAGTCGGGGCCTCGCTCTGGGATGCAGCAAGATGGTAGTGATGAACGAGGTAGATGAGGCCCTCTGCAACTGCGCTTGCAGTGGTAATAGGTTGGCTCGGGAGGGACAAAGGTCGTCGATGGCTGTATACTACCATCGCGCTCATCTAAAGAAAGGAGGTCCAGGTCGACCTCAGGGTAAGATAAAGGGGGTATCGTCTGCACTTCGCATTCAGCTGTCAGTAGCGGAAGCCATTCGAGGCGAGAGCGTCGGATCTCGATGTTTGTATCCAAGGAGCCTAGACCTCCATCTCCTTCGTCTGCCAAGCGACGGTATTTCTTGTATGCGTGCTGCAGCTCAAGGTACGTCCAAGGGTACGTGGCAGTGGATCGTGCAAGATGTTGCGATCGCGACTATTTGCTGGCAAAGTGTACACGACGAAAGGACGCGCCACGTCATTGACTAGAGGTAGGTATGCCATACTGTGTCTCCTATTGTTGGTGGTTTGATACCGATCTCGCTATGCGAGCTATGCACAAGCTTCGTGTCGACTGGTGAGTCGTTAGTGGTGTGGGTCTCCACCTTGCCCTCCACAAAGCCATCTCTTTTGAGTGACGACGTCGACTCGATCAACGCTAACATGCCGAGTGCGTTGACTGATGATTCTGGACGCGGACTCTCGTTAGAACACAAGGGCGACCACGGCGTTTAGAGTTACTCGCTGTTCACGATTAGCAAGGTCGACTTGTTGCATACTTGTACAATACATGTATAGAAAGGTTCATCAGTAGCAGGTGCAAATCCATCGGCAAATGGCTTCGTTTGAATGCGCATCGAAAACATCCATTAGCTTGCCACGTCATAAGCTTGTTTTTTGTATTCGGGACAAAGCCACGCATCCGAATCACGGAATGTCGGGCCCCACATTCTTCATTTTGCACCATGGCGAGCGTCGTGCTGACGTCGGCGCCGCTGACTGCGCTCCTCTTTGGCTTCCAATTTGGCGTCTACGAAGACATCCGGTGTCGCTTTCTCGAGGCGCGCACCGTGGAGTTGGTCACGACGTCTTCCAACCGCGCCAGTGTCTACGTCTTCCCGCCGGGCTTTCGGCCCATCTACGACAGCGACGATCCGACAATGCCTATTACCTTCCTGTCCCCGTACACACTCGGCTTAGCTCGCGATTGCTTGCGCGATGCGCGACTTCCACTGCATCTTGCGATCTACGAAGGCGACTTCTCCGTGACGCGGCGCATTCTGGCCTGTCGCCCAGACCTCGCCTCCGCCGAGGCCATCGACGTCGCCTTCTGCCACAGCCGCTTTGAGATTGCCTCGTACCTCATGACCTTACGCCAGCATCTACCGCAGCTTGGCGAGCACTTGTTTCCGTGGACACCAAACGGCTACGACAGTCCCATCGGGCAGCACTTGCCAATACGTTGTGTGGTATCCCACTGCTCTGTAGCCCATCTTGAGCTGCTGCGAGCGTACACGCGCAAAGGGTGGACAGACAATACCTTGCGCAAGGCCCTCCTCATGCGCTCGTTGGACGTCGCAACGTTCCTCTACTCGCAAATGCCCGAGACGCACTTTGCTGAGCTCGTGAACGAGGCAGCCTGCAGTGGCATGCTCGCATTCGTTCAGATGCTCCATCGCGATGGCCATACGTGCTCCATCGACGCCGTCGAGCAAGCTATTAAGAGTGACCACCTCGACGTCGTCCGTTTTCTCCTTGAGGAGTGTGGAGCCGGGCCACGCCAGTACACCATTGTGGTGGCGGCAGCCTACAACCGACGCGACATCGTCGCATACCTCCTCTCACTGGACGACGACAGCCTTCAAGTCCAGGTCGCGTTCGCTGCAGCACTGCGCCGTAGCCACGTGGATATTGTGGAGCAGCTCTTGGCCTCCGGTCGGGTCTCGGTGCCGCACGGAGCGGTGTCCTCAGCCCTGTGAAGAAAGCGCCTGAGCGTCGCGCGCTGTCTTCTCTCGCACGGCTTCCGCCTTGACGTCGCCTCCATTGACGCCAACCTCCTTCGCACGTACACCGACGACACAGCGCCGCTACTCGACCTTTTCCGCGAATTTGGTATCGAACCGCCGACAACCGCCATGTAGCAGTGTGTAATTTCTTATTCCAAGTGAACAGTCCGCCTCACGCAGCCCATTAGCCAAGTCAATGACACTCGCACATCATCGCTAGTAGGATTACATCGTCGCGCTTCACACATGTAGTAAACCCTTATCTCAAAACGACATGAAACTCTGCATTGACCTTCCAAACACTGTTTATACGAAACAGCGTTTGCAGTCAGATGCCTCTGCTGCCGCCAAAGCCGCCGCTGAAGGCGCGTCACGACGGACCCACACAAGATTCGACCGTGTTATGTGTAGTATAGTTAGTTTCAGTTCCAGTCTCCTCGATGTCCAAAGCCAAACGAGTGAAGAAGCGCAGGGCCTCGACGCCACACCCACGTATGAGGAGATGCGGAGAGCGCACGAGCTCCTGCACGGACCAAGCCTCCAGTCGACATCATCTTCTTCAAGAGGGTCATCGCCGCTGTCGACGCCAGTGGCTCAGCGTTTGCAAGCGTCGCACCAATTTTGTCCTATTCGAGGCGCCGGATCCCAAACCCTACATTGACGGCTCTTGCGACTGCCAAGGCGCTCACGCGCACCAGAACCGCGACACCTGCACAGTATGCACACTACCAGCCACTGCTGCTCAAGCGTCTTCAAGAGAATGGAACGAACTGCCGACCATCGCCATGTAGCGCTCACATCACACCGACGTTTCAATGCACTGTTTGTGATGTGCAAAACACTGTTTCAGAATGCGGCTCAGAAATGATTTAACCACTGTCCGGAGAAGGAGAGATTCTGTCAACAAGAAACAGTGCACCGATCGCAAAACAAACACTGTATATGAAAGAGAAACAAACGACTGGATATCGACATCGATCGTCGATCCCACGATATTAAACGAGCGGCTTGTCGGCCGCCGGGTGCGCGTGGCCGTGCTTGGCGGCGTGGGCCTCGGCCTTGCGCTCCAAGAAGGCGTGCCACACTTCGCGGCCGCCCTTCTTGAGGTACCAGTAGTAAAAGCCCGCGATACTCACGACGACAGCGGCGACAATGATGATGCCAAAGACAAGACCGGTCGTGCCAGCCTTGAAGAGGTACGTCAAGGCGAGCGCGATGCCCGGTACGATCAAAAAGAGCAGCATCAGAAAGAGACCTGCGACCATCGGCCACCGCGCGCTGTAGAAGGCGAGGCGGCGCGCCCAGTCCAGGATCGGCTTGCGCGTGATCGGGATCGGGTAGAAGAGGAAGATGCCCCAGATGTTGAACCAAAAGTGCACGAGCGCGATCGCGACAGCGTCCGGCGACCCCGTCACCCACGACGCGAGCAGCGCCGTCACGGTCGTGCCGAGGTTGGCGCCAATCACGATCGGGTACACCTGCTCGAGCGTGATGAGCCCGAGACCGGCCATCGGCGTCAAGGTCGAGGTGACCACCGTCGACGAGTGCACGCAGAACGTGATGAGCGTGCCGAGGAAGATGTTGACGTAGCCGTTAAAGTCGAGCGCCTTGCGGATCGTCTTTTGCGCCGAGCCGCGGAAGAGCTTTTGGAGCATGTAGACAAGCGAGACGAGCGACATGACGAGGAGCGTAAAGCCGATCGCGAGGCAGATGCCACCGATGGCACCGCCGCTCATCGAGCCGCTCTTGTACGACGAGAGGAACGCGCCGCCCTTGAGAAACACCGCCTTCTCACACGTGACCTTGCCGAGCGACACCTTTTCAATCATGCTCTTGTCGACGCGGATGAGCTGCTGCGCGAGCGGGTTGACAATGATGTCGACGGGCGACTCAAAGTACGCGTTGGCCTTGCCGCCCGACATGGACATGGAGAGGAGCTCGAGCGGGTGGAAGACGAGCTCGATCGGGAAGAGGACGATGACCGACCAGATGTTGTACATGTCGTGGACGGTCGCGGCCGCCATCGCGCGCTCAAACTGGTCGCGCTTGCCCATCTGCGCAAAGGCGACCATGATGCAGGTCACGCACGTGCCGACGTTGGCGCCCATGATGATCGGGACGCCTTGGCGCACGGTGAGACCCTTGGCGCCCACGAGGGCGACGGTGATGGACGTGACCGTGCCGGACGAGTGCAGCATGGCGGTCGAGACGACGCCGACCATGAGACCCGCGATCGGGTTGTCGGCAAACGCGAACGCCGACTTGGCTTCGCAGCCGAGGAGGAGCGAGAACGACTCGCCGATCCACTTGACAGCGACCATGAAAAAGTAGAGCGAGCTCATGGCCAGCACAAAGTAAAAGATGCCCCAGAACAGCTTCATGTACCACGGGAGGTTGGCGAACGTCTTGTCCTCTTCTTCGAGCTTGATCTCTTCGTCGGCGTCCGTGTAGTCAATGGCGGCGTTGGGCGACCGACCCGCGAGGCCCGGCGTCATGACGACGTTGGCCGACTCGGACTGCAGCACCGTTTCCTTGGCAGCGACCATGCTTGGTGGTCAAAAGCAAATGCAAGAATGAGGTTGAGACGTAAGTGCAATCTCGCCGAAGCAAAGTTTTGCGCCTGGCTTGGTGAGGAATCTGGACTGTCGAACAGCTGTTTGCGAGCTTGGGCCGGCGCGGGGTACCACGTTAGCTTGTTGCTTTGGCGAAAGAGACATACGACGTGTCAAGATTCGAGCCGGATTCGATCACATGAGGTTTGAATCTACCTCGCGTCGTTGCCACTTGTGGGTGCCGGTGTGCATCTAGAAAGACAGTAGCGACGCTTCAGTTCTGGCTTGTACCGGGTGCTTCAACCGCGCTCTGGTTTCTTGAAGGTTGACGGTCGTCTGTCCATTCCAATGGTCGCAAAAAGTATACTAGCAAGATGGATGATTCGCGTGGTCCAGGACGCGGTGGCGCCGGCAGCATGGACAGGTGCGGTAGCTAGCACGCTCTTGCGCAGCGTGGCTCACCGCATGCGGCCGTACAGGTCTTCGCGACGGCCCAAAGCCGGTACATGTCGCCCCGTTTGAACTCTGGCGACGGCTGCGTGGGTTCATTCGTATCGAATGCCATGCTGTCGATGCTAGGGAGTGGAGTGATCCGGTGAAGAGGACTCTACAACACAAGAACGTTTGCGTCTAAGGTACGGTACGCAATGCATTCCGGTATAAGGTTATAGTGATTCGAGTCTAGTCGAGCTTGGACCGGCGACGGCGGACGGCCGACGCGGCCGACGCCGGCGGCGAGCTGCTGCCCTTGGGCGACGACGGGGGTTCACGCGCGCGGGCAATCGACGACGGCTTGGACGACATGACAACGATGACGCCGAGCGCGACGAAGAGCACGCCGAGGCCAAGGACCCACGCCGATGACGACGGGAGCGCCTTGACGTGATACACCATCTTGCGGCTACCGTCGGCCTCGACCGACCACGCCGCATGGAGCTGCTGGGCAGCGTCGCCGTCATTGTCCACCTGGACGACAAGGGTCGCGCCGTCCGTTGTCGTGAGCGTCCACTCCTTGGCGGCCTCGGGCGTCACGTCGGGGGTCGAGAAGGTTTGCATCGCGTGGGCGGTCGCGAGGTGCGCGTTGAGCGCGTCGAGGGCGAAGCGGGCAACGCTAAGGTCGTGCGTATGGGCGTCCGTGGCAGCGGCCACCGGGATCGGCGCCGACTTGGCCTGCGCGAGCGCGAGCAGCGCAGCGACGAGGAGCAGGACGCAGCGAGGGTACTTCATACTACGAAAATGACTGGTGTGTTTGGCACGCATCGCGCAATCGACGCGGTGATTGGTAGAAAACAGTGCAAAGTGAGCGCAATAGCGCTTGTGATTGGCTGAAAATCCAGATTGCCACGTGGCGGTGCTAGAAAGGGCGCGTCTCTTTCTGCTCCGTTGAAAAGTTGGCGCCGAGACGGCGGGCCATGTCTTCGACTCGCGCAGTGAATAGGGGTGCTATACATTAGAGTAGACATTTGCACAGACTGTCTTTGCCGCAATATTGTCACTCTAATTACGCTGGCCTCTACGTAGCTTTGCTGCCAACCACAAAGCCTGGAAGGCCTTTATGAAGCGTGTCGTCATGGGCTTCACTCGCGGCCGAATTTGCATCCGGGTGGCAACAGAAGCGAAAGACGAGCTCCGCGCCGCCGCCTACGCAGCCACAGCCACAGCCCGGCGCGCGAATAAAGAAGGGGATTGCTAGTCTCTATGTATCTCTATGTATGCAAAATCTTGATAACAACGAAGATAACGCGAAACACGTTTATATAATTACGCGTTAGGCAGCAGCTACCATGGCGACGTAGTCCATACTATGGTCGCTGGCCGCCCTAGCAGCGAGGGTAGCCACTAGAATGAAGTGTCCTTTCATGTCATTCCGGTGTGCAATAGTCGAGCTGTACATCAGCTGCCAATTCCTGCTCGAACAGTGTCGAGAGGTCACAGGTACATCACCACTCCCTGGTTGGTCCCAACAGCCCAACAACCAGAGCGCGTCCCAGGAGCAACATCGGTAGTTGCTGCCAGTCTGGTGCTCAAGTACAGTAGCTCCATCATGAACCACCACCAATGGTGTTTATGCCGGTGACTTGTAGTACCCATGCGTATAACGTCGGCCATCCACGATGCGCGTCCATGCGCGGCAAGTCAGATGGTGACCGTCCGTGAGAGGAAGGACGCGTCTCTGCCACACACGGGTGCCTTAGGGGTGGGGTCCGAACGGCAAAGCGTACGACTAAGTGCTTAGAGCCTGACCATCGACACCTCGGCCCTACAACAGCAAAGGGCCCGATGCAGTCCCAGAGCGATCCTAGAGCTTCGCGGAGGAGCCATAGCGTTTCTTGCCAAGCTGATTCGTTGAAGCGGATCGCTGGCGTCCATCCAAGCAGTCGGCCGTCCAGATTCGAGCTGCGCTTGGCCGTAGGAGCTGACAGAGGAAGCGGAGACGTCCGAATCAAGGAGCTTCCGAGATCCTTGAGCTCACATCACGCCACGGTCCACGTGGATATGGGTACACGGAGACAGCCACGTAACCAATCGCTGTCCATGCAACGGAGCGGCTGGCGACGTAGCGTAACGTGACCAGCAGCGTCTGGGCAGATACGGCGGCAAGCTCCGCCGACGACAGCCGCACAGCAGATTCAAACCTGATGTGATCGAATCCGGCTCGAATCTTGACACGTCGTATGTCTCTTGTGGCCTATCAAAGGTGCCACGTGGTACTGCGCGCCGGCGCAAACCGGCCACACATCTGGTCGACGGTCGAGATTCCGTTCCAGTTTGCTACAAAGTGGATCGCTAAAAACACTGAAAAATATTCAAAAAATCCTCTGCTCCTCAACCTCATTCTTGCATTTGCTTTTGACCACCAAGCATGGTCGCTGCCAAGGAAACGGTGCTGCAGTCCGAGTCGGCCAACGTCGTCATGACGCCGGGCCTCGCGGGTCGGTCGCCCAACGCCGCCATTGACTACACGGACGCCGACGAAGAGATCAAGCTCGAAGAAGAGGACAAGACGTTCGCCAACCTTCCGTGGTACATGAAGCTGTTCTGGGGCATCTTTTACTTTGTGCTGGCCATGAGCTCGCTCTACTTTTTCATGGTCGCTGTCAAGTGGATCGGCGAGTCGTTCTCGCTCCTCCTCGGCTGCGAAGCCAAGTCGGCGTTCGCGTTTGCCGACAACCCGATCGCGGGTCTCATGGTCGGCGTCGTCTCGACCGCCGTTTTGCACTCGTCCGGCACGGTCACGTCCATCACCGTCGCCCTCGTGGGTGCCAAGGGTCTCACGGTGCGCCAAGGCGTCCCGATCATCATGGGTGCCAACGTCGGCACGTGCGTGACCTGCATCATGGTCGCCTTTGCGCAGATGGGCAAGCGCGACCAGTTTGAGCGCGCGATGGCGGCCGCGACCGTCCACGACATGTACAACATCTGGTCGGTTATCGTCCTCTTCCCGATCGAGCTCGTCTTCCACCCGCTCGAGCTTCTCTCCATGTCCATGTCGGGCGGCAAGGCCAACGCGTACTTTGAGTCGCCCGTCGACATCATTGTCAACCCGCTCGCGCAGCAGCTCATCCGCGTCGACAAGAGCATGATTGAAAAGGTGTCGCTCGGCAAGGTCACATGTGAGAAGGCGGTGTTTCTCAAGGGCGGCGCGTTCCTCTCGTCGTACAAGAGCGGCTCGATGAGCGGCGGCGCCATCGGTGGCATCTGCCTCGCGATCGGCTTTACGCTCCTCGTCATGTCGCTCGTCTCGCTTGTCTATATGCTCCAAAAGCTCTTCCGCGGCTCGGCGCAAAAGACGATCCGCAAGGCGCTCGACTTTAACGGCTACGTCAACATCTTCCTCGGCACGCTCATCACGTTTTGCGTGCACTCGTCGACGGTGGTCACCTCGACCTTGACGCCGATGGCCGGTCTCGGGCTCATCACGCTCGAGCAGGTGTACCCGATCGTGATTGGCGCCAACCTCGGCACGACCGTGACGGCGCTTCTTGCGTCGTGGGTGACGGGGTCGCCGGACGCTGTCGCGATCGCTCTTGTGCACTTTTGGTTCAACGTTTGGGGCATCTTCCTCTTCTACCCGATCCCGATCACGCGCAAGCCGATCCTGGACTGGGCGCGCCGCCTCGCGTTCTACAGCGCGCGGTGGCCGGTGGTCGCGGGTCTCTTTCTGATGCTGCTCTTTTTGATCGTGCCGGGCATCGCGCTCGCCTTGACGTACCTTTTCAAGGCTGGCACGACGGGTCTTGTGTTTGGCATCATCATTGTCGCCGCTGTCGTCGTGAGTATCGCTGGCTTTTACTACTGGTACCTCAAGAAGGGCGGCCGCGAAGTGTGGCACGCCTTCTTGGAGCGCAAGGCCGAGGCCCACGCCGCCAAGCACGGCCACGCGCACCCGGCGGCCGACAAGCCGCTCGTTTAATATCGTGGGATCGACGATCGATGTCGATATCCAGCCGTTTGTTTCTCTTTCATATACAGTGTTTGTTTTGCGATCGGTGCACTGTTTCTTGTTGACAGAATCTCTCCTTCTCCGGACAGTGGTTAAATCATTTCTGAGCCGCATTCTGAAACAGTGTTTTGCACATCACAAACAGTGCATTGAAACGTCGGTGTGATGTGAGCGCTACATGGCGATGGTCGGCAGTTCGTTCCATTCTCTTGAAGACGCTTGAGCAGCAGTGGCTGGTAGTGTGCATACTGTGCAGGTGTCGCGGTTCTGGTGCGCGTGGCCGCCTTGGCAGTCGCAATAGTCGTCAATATAGGGTTTGGGATCTGGCGCCTCGAATAGGACAAAATTGGTGCGACGCTTGCAAACGCTGAGCCACTGGCGTCGACAGCGGCGATGACCCTCTTGAAGAAGATGATGTCGACTGGAGGGCTTGGTCCGTGCAGGAGTTCGTGCGCTCTCCGCATCTCCTCATACGTGGGTGTGGCGTCGAGGCCCTGCGCTTCTTCACTCGTTTGGCTTTGGACATCGAGGAGACTGGAACTGAAACTAACTATACTACACATAACACGGTCGAATCTTGTGTGGGCCCGTCGTGACGCGCCTTCAGCGGCGGCTTTGGCGGCAGCAGAGGCATCTGACTGCAAACGCTGTTTCGTATAAACAGTGTTTGGAAGGTCAATGCAGAGTTTCATGTCGTTTTGAGATTAGGGTTTATTACATGTATGAAGCGTGACGATGTAATCCTACTAGCGATGATGTGCGAGTGTCATTAACTTGGCTAATGGGCTGCGTGAGGCGGATTGTTCATTTGGAATAAGAAATTACGCACTGCTACATGGCGGTCGTCGGCGGTTCGATACCAAACTCTTGGAGGAGTGCAAGAAGCAGCGCGGGGCTCTTGCCAAGAAGGGCTGCGTCAACGGCAGCGACGTTAATGACACCGCTGTGTAAGAGAAGGCAGCGCGCCACATCGAATTGTCTCTCTTGTAGCGCAGAAAGAACAGCCCCCGCCGGCACATTCGTACGACCCGTCGCTAAAATCTCGTTGACGATTCCTGCGTCGCCGCGCTGAAGCGCCAGCGCGAGTGCGTCATCGATGTCCAAGTCGACGTTGGCCAGAGAGAGAAGGTACGCCACAGTATCCCGTCGCTCGTAAGCCACGGCCTGGCCAATCGCATCGCAATGGAGCGCGACGCCGTCCTCGATAAGAAAGTGAACGATGTCGAGGTACCCGCGCGCAACCGCACTCGAGAGAGCGTCGGCAGAGCATGCGTAGCCATCGCGACGCAGTAGGTGCACGAGGGAAACCTTGCCGGCTCTTACTGCCGCGTCCAAGGCGCCAGGAAAGCGCGTCTCGGGCTCGTGGATATAGATGTATTCGGCCATGTCGGGCGTGCGAAAAGTGATGGCTGTGCGGAGAACGTTGTCTGTCCACCCGACTGTCGTGTACGTTTTTAGTAGTTGCAGCAGCGCAATGTCGCCGTAGGTCGCGCAACTCTCCGGCAAGTGCTGCCCCACGGAGGGGATTCCGTCGGTCGATGCCCATAGGTGCTCGCCGAGCTGCGGCACATCGCGCCGCAAGGCCATGAGGTACGAGGCAATCGCAAAGCGGGTGCAGTAGAAGGCGACGTCGATGGCCTCGGCGGAGGCGAGGTCTGGGCGACAGGTCAGAATGCGCTGCGTCACGGAGAAGTCGCCTTCGTAGATGGCGAGGTGCAGCGGCAGTCGGGCATCAGACAAAGAATCGCGAGCTAAGCCGAGTGTGTACGGGGACAAGAAGGTAACAGGCATTGTCGGTTCGTTGCAGTGGTGAATGGGCCGAAAGCCGGGCGGGAAGACGTAGACGCGTTCGATCCAGAGAGAGGTCTTGACCAACGTCAAGGAGCGCGCCTCGAGAAAGCGATGCCGGATGTCTTCGTAGATGCCAAATTGGAAGCCAAAGATGCGCGCGGCCAGCGGCGGCGACGTCAGCACGACGCTCGCCATTCGCAAATAATAAAGTCGCGACGGCTGGTCGCAGCAACCTTAAAGCTTTGATTTTGTATACCATACAGTTGAAACGGTCATGACGTGGCAGGCTGTACGATGTCTATTCTTTCGATGGCCAGTTTGGTTTGGTTTGGGACTGCTCGGACATGTGGAAATGTGGTATATCGTCTTGGGTGGAGCGCTGGGTGGAGCGATGCCTTTTCCAGCATCCCTCTGCCAAGACGAGCTCGTGGTCTATGCCATGGCCTTTTTAACAGGTTGTGGCAGAGGACCTCAATACCATAGAAACCCCATGTGACTACATGTAGTCGTCCAGGGGTCCCAAGCGACCACCGCACATAGGTTCGATCTAGGTCCCACACGACGCGGACGACGTTGACAACGGTTTATTGGCTGTCGGGCCGCTGCCTCCGCTATGGCCATCGCCAGTGCGAGCCTCGTTGGCTCGGTCGTTGCCGACCATTCACGTGTGAAGTGGCTCATACGTCGACACCTTATATACCAACCGCAAGCAAGCGCAAGGTTGCTCTGCGCCCCAAAAGACAGTCATGGACTGACTGGGATCTTTCAAAATGGCGGGCTTGTAACCGCTGGCTTCGGCATCCGCCGAATGCACCGATATAGTGTAATACGGTAGGCCTATTTTCGGCACACGCCGGAGAACGTGCCACGTGCAACTATCCGGACAATGGTCCGACGTCCCATTCCAGCAGCAAGGAGGCAGTCGAAGGATCGAAAGCCGATTACTACGTCGTGCAAGCACTAATACGCATCGCTGCCATCGCTCTCTCACCACTCTTTTTGACTTCTTTACGCCATAGTAGCGTAAAATTCAATATACACTATTCTCGCCACATTGCACCACGTATCCGGATTTTTCAACAAATACTGTGAAAAACTATCTTTAGCGATCTAAAAACAGCAAGCGCGATGGCTTGGACGTCATTCCGAGATTCGCCGAGACCTCATGGCCGTCCGAGTCCTCGCCGCAGTGGCCATCGCTGCCGCCAGCGTGCATGGGCAGAGCTGGCCGCCCGCGAACCAGTGCTCGGCCACGGGCTTTGCCTCGTGGACAGCGCAGTGCCCGAGCCTTCTGGCGACGAACGCACCGACCAAGGTGACGCAGCCGCAGACAGGCAGCCTCAAAGCGACGAACCTCTCGACGCTCGACACGCTTGACCAAGCGCGCGTCGTGCTGCAGGGCCGGTCGGCCGTGCAGGCTATGGACGGCCTCCGGTCCGAGTCCGCCGCCTGGTACAATACGTCGCTCACCAACATGATGATCGCGTTCTGCCACCTCACATCGACGGCGGCCGACCTGACGCGCTGCGTGGCCAACACGAGCACGAATGCGGCGCGCGACCGCAACAACGCCTGTATCGTCGTCCCGGGCAATGGCTCGTGCGCCGCGCTCCCGGGACAGTGCGAGCGCCTCGCCAACTGCCTCTGGCCCACGCCCAACCCCAACATTAGCGTACCGTCGTACCTATCATCTCTAAACGCTCATGATGGACACTATTGTCTGTAGCCGCGCCAGCCCCGGTACACGCAAGCTCAGATCGATACGGCGCTGGGCTGGGTCCAACAAACGTACGCCGAGTCGCTCGTGCCGTACGCTGCACCAGGGTACGCATCTCTAGGCATACGTATCGAGGAGCTCACAAACGGGTAGGATCACGCTGGCGGTGCTGACCTTTTTGGGCTTTCTGGCGTTCTTCGTGCTGCGCTGCGTGTGCAACAAGTGCGGCGGCCGGGACCCGATCGAGCGAGGCTACACGTGGTGCGCGGTCTTGATCCCGGGCATTAGCTTCTTCCTCTTTTCGCTCGCCATCTTCATCTGCAGCGTCGCCGCGTATATTCAAAACAACAGCGTCACGGCGCGGGTTCGAACCTCATGTACCGTCGTCTTTTTCTCATATTTCGTTACGTAGATGCACGATCTGTTTGCATCGCTCAACGAAGTACTCGCCAACGCGCAGGTCTACGCCAAGAACCTCCTCGCACCGCTCAACGCGATCGAAGCCAGCCAGGCGGCGACCGTCTCGGCTATGAAATCGGCGCTCGGCAACACCGACTGGATCGTCGCGGGTGCCAAGGCCCTTCAGGTACTCTTGTCTCTACCTCCACCATCGCTGCTCATACGCGCAAAGACCATGGGCGCGGCCATCGACTCGACCTACTCAAGTGCGTTTCCGACAACGTGTGTGAACAAGGACAGCGTGTGCCTCCAGTGTCCGGTGGCTCTCTGCGGCGGCGCGACGACCCAAGCGCGTACGATTACGGCTGCGATCGCAACGACCGCGTCGCAGCTCGATACGACCTTCCAGCTCGCGCGCACCACCATGTACGACGGATCGGCGACTCTCTTCAACGCGATCAACACGGCGCAGTTCAACCTCGACGTCCTTGCCGCTGCGACCAACAACTCGAACGCGGCCGTGAGCACCGTGCAGACGTCGTTTGACGAGATCTCGTACGGCCGGTCGGGCCTTGTGCTATGCATCTTTATCCTCGGGCTCTTCGTGTCGCTCCTCGGCATGCTTGGCTTTGCGCGTGGCGTGTGCAAAAACAACTCCAAGATGGTCCACCTCTTGCATGTGAGCTGGATCCTCGGTGTCCTTCTCTGCATCATCAGCTTTGTCGTTGCCTCGCTCTTGATTGCAGTCTCGGCGCTCTGGTAGGTTTTTGCGTCTATGTTGTATCAACTGTGTATCAACTTTGTATCAACTGTAGGTACGACGGCTGCAAGTACCTCGACATGATTGTCAACAACATGGCCCCGTACTTTTCGGCAGAAACTTCAGGCATCCTCACGTCATGCATCCAAGGTACTTGTGCCATCGAAGGATGGAATATGAAAGGACAATGTAGGTACAAGCACGCTCGCCGCGCTGCAAATGACGCCGGCGTATACGGCCTCGTGTGGCCTCTACGAGCGTCTCTCGGTCGCCCAGAGCGTAGGACCTAGATGTTTACGAACCATAGCGCTGAAAACGAGGCTAGGTGGCGCCGCTCACGGCCTTCCAGCAGCTCCAGAGCAACCCGATTACGGTCTACAGCCTCGGAGACTTTGGCTACTCGGCGGACATCCAAGCGACGCTGCTCTCGGCGGCCGTGCGCGACATGCCGCCGCAAAAAGTAACGGCATCGAAGGTTGAACAGCTCGAGACGCCGTGGGACCTCTACGAGTCGACGCTCGCGAGTTCGGGCTGCAAGTCTGATGATGCGTGCGTTCATCACTGCCTTTTGCATAAGATCTAAGTCGTCGTAGGGACCCGTCGCTGTGCTTTATGCAGAAAAAGTGTAACCCAGGCTCGGCGTGCCTGGTCTCGTTCCAGGATGCGCGCGTGTACGCCAAAGCCGCTGCCAAGATCCAGAGCACCTTGTACATGATGAACCAAGACTACCAGGGCAACACCAACTACAACAACTCCAAGGGCTGGCCGGGCGGCAGTCAGAGTCTTCTGAACGCGGGCCTGACGTATGCGACCAAGCTCAATGCGTTCGTGACGACGCAGCTGCCGCCATTGACCAAGCTCAGTGTGTGGAGTCAAATCAACGCTGTCGAGTGTACGAGTGACGCAGGCTGCTCGTGGATCAACCAAGAGTATGCGATCGTGCATGACTTGCTGTGCCAGGATCTGCTTGGGCTCTGCCTCAACATTGCCCTCTGCGTCTTCCTCGTCGCGCTCTTCCTACTACCGCTGGCCGTGTGTGGCATTCTCTTGCAGAAGCGCCTCCGAGGCATCCGCGGCGGTACATGCCACGCTTGTACGAGTCTGCAGCTCAATGTTGATGTAGGTACCTACGGCAACATGGAGCAGCCCGAAGCGCCCGCCCCCGGCGTGCAGCTCACGCCCAAGCAGAAGCTGCAGGCCAAGCTCGATGCGTTGACCAAGGGTCCGCCGACGGTGTAGAAGGACCTTTTTCATTATTAGTTTTTGCATAAAATTCCGTCTTTTCTGAAACTCGAACATTGCCGTTTTGCGACAAAAAGGGGTGGCACCTTTGTACCATCTAGTTGGGGACTACTATGCTTTGCCGCTGTAATAGCCAGTATCGATCAAAAAGCTCGTGAGGATCTTGGCTGTCGGTAGTGCAAAGGTTACGTGGCCCAAGCTTTCTCCATCAAGTAGCATTCATGCAGTGGATGGCCTTTTCGGAAACGTCCAAGATGGCGCCATACCCTTTTTTGGCACGCGCCATTTGAAAGATCGTTTGGGAACCAATGAAACGCGCGCGTTGGTGAAACGACGCGCCAGTGGCCACCACCCACCCAAGCGCCTATTTATACAGGACGTCGCGCCCAAAGGCTGCCACTGTTACTTTTGAGCCGCCGCCATGGCCACGTTCAAGCGCAAGGGCTCGATTGTCCAAGACCCGGCCCTGAACCGGCTCAAGCAGCAGGGCGCGACGGCCACCAACGTGGCGTCGCCCAAGGGCATTTCGACGAAGAAGGTTCATCCCTTTTAGCCCACCATGGGTTTCAAATGCCTTGTCTAGCCGACGACCGAAGATAATGTGCATCTCGCTCGCCGCCGCTTGAGCGTCGTCAGCGACAATACACTGGTTGAAGGGCTGGCCAACGTCTCGACTGCGGACCCGGACGGTGTCCAAGACGGCACGGCCTCGATCGGGTGCTACGCCGGCGTGAGCAAGAAGGGATATGCGCCGTACAATCCGCGCAAGAAGAACCAAGACTCGATGATCATGCAGTACGATGCATCGAGCAAGTCGCTCCTCCTCGGTGTCTTTGACGGCCACGGTGAAGCGGGCGACGGCGTCTCGCAGTTCTTTCGTGCGCAGTTTCCCGACGAACTCTTCAAGCACGCGGGGTTTGCACCGACGGGCGACATGGCCAAAGACTGCGAAGGCATCAAAGGTACACTCCTTTTTAGCCGTCGACGTGTCTCATAGTCTTTTAGCGGCCATGACCTTTGCGATGAACGCCGTCGAGAAGCGCGTGCTCCGTGACCAGAGCATCGACACCGAGTTCAGCGGCAGCACCGGCGTCGTTAGCGTCATCCGAGACAAGTGCGACCCCCTTCGAGCCTCGCCAATGCCTCATTTTTCGTGGATTTTAGGCTCCTTGTCGTCGGCAATGTGGGCGACTCGAGAGTCACACGCGGGTATGCCCAAGGCGCTACGATTATTGCTGAAGCCGTCTCGGACGATCACAAACCGGACCGCCCAAACGAAAAGGCGCGGATTCTGGCCGCCGGTGGCCGTGTCTTTGCAGTCGAGTACGACGACGGTCCGTGCTGTGGGAAGCCACACGTTTGCGTCATTTGATTCGTAGGCATCGACGGTCCACCGCGTGTCTGGCTCGGTCACATGGACGTCCCGGGCTTGGCCATGTCGCGGTCGCTTGGCGACGCAGTCGCGCACACGGCGGGGGTAGCGGCATCGCTCTCGGCAGCGTGTGTGGCTTAGAACGTACTAGGTGAGCTCGGAGCCCGAGTTTTTTACGCGCACTTTGGACGCCACCGACAAGTGTCTCGTCATTGCGACGGACGGGCTCTGGGAATTCATGTCGGACGAGGAAGTGATCAAGATGGCGACGGCGCACACGGACCCCAAGCAAGCCGTACGTGTTCTTTTGGTTTTACTATACGTTCTTATGAATGGCGTAGGTCGATGTCCTCATCTTGGAGGCAAACCGCCGGTGGATGAAGGAAGAACAGGTCGACACGCAAAGATGTGGGTACCCGCCTCCTCATCTTGCGCCAACTAGGTCATCGACGACACGACCGTCATCGTCGCGTTCGTCAACGTCCAATAGACGTACTATAGATCCATACGAGAGCTACAACACTGCAACTATCACAGTATAAATCGACTTTTGCATTCTGGACTTCTGGTGCATTCGGGTATTCTGATGTACGTCGTGTGGAAGAGACGTGCGCGAGTTCGTGTGGTCGAGCGCGGTACGAAGGCGTCTCTACTCGTTTACAAAACATTGCCAAAGAATCGGCAGCGCGGTTTGCATGGGTGATCGCCGCCAAGACGACACGACCGTTAACAGCACATCGGACTGTCGCTATTTGATGCTTCTCGATGGCGACAGCGAGAACGTCTCGACCGCACGTCTGAGTAGCCGAGGACCTCTTTCGCGGGCCGTCCCGCGAACGTTCTTGCGGCGCTACAGGGCTCGGCGTTGCTTCTTGTGGCTGCCACAACGCGACCGACGACGCGACTGTCGCCAATTAGACTCGAGTGTTCTCAAAAGCATTCCTTTCGAGTTCGTACGAGTCCAGTTAGCTACTCGCTTTGTGAAGACACATCTTCTTTGTCCGCAAAGAAATCCAGCAGTGGACCGGAAATTGAACTTATCCATTGCACGCGCGAGCCTCCGAACGTTCTTGTGGCTGCCGGGCGTCGTCAAACACTGGTTTCAATATGAAGTGTCGCTTCATACAGTGTATTCTTCCTGGACCAAAGGCTCATCTGAGAACCTTACCGCCGCTGCTACCCAACGCGAGATCCAAACAAGATCGCGTATTTGAGCTTCAAAGATCCTGCAGAACGACGACGACGAGAAAAGGGCGGGCGAGAAGCGACGACCTGGACGTTGATCGTGTCGACTCGACCTAGTGGACCAAGCTAACGTAGCCCGATCCGAGACATGCATCAAAATGGTCGTGCTTCGAATTTGTAAAGCATCTAATCGGCAAGTGTAGGATTTCTTCCGAGGCGACACGGACCGGCGACGAGGACTTGCCGTCATGCCCCACGCGATTCCTCATTGGCGTAGCACGAGCCTATCACGCGAGGGGATAACCTGATGCACCACGCGTCATGGCCCGTCTTGCGGCGCGGCCGCGGTGCCGGCAAGTATGTGTGCCGCGCGCGTCAACAATGCGAGATTGGCACAAGGAGGGTGGTATACGCCAGCGAGTCACGGGCCGAGCCCAACCTCATTGGCCGTGAGCGTCAGCCTATGAAACGCCGCGGGGCCGAGACGTGGACTACAGGCTACGTTCTTATTGGCCGCCGCATCTGAGTCCATGGTCCTCAGAAGCCACGTACGACTTGGCGTGCCACGGGCCAAGTCGCCCGCACAAACAACCGTCGTGTTTTCGGGTCTCGCCAACGCGAGACCATCCCACGTTCCTCGTCGCGAGCTTCAACGGCCATCTCACGCGTGCGATCGTGGTGCCTGTCCTTGCTGCTGGCCAGGCGTCGGCGCTCTTTTGGTGGAATAAGCACTGTTCTTGGTGATTGTACTCGGCAGCAAGACACAGCGCCCAGCTGGGTAGGAAAACGCTGACGTTGAGAGGGTAGGACCAGGCCAAATGTGGCCGCAAGTCATGCTCGAGTGTCAAAGTGCAGCTGTATATTCCACACACCGAGCATTTGCTCCGAGTACTACTTGAGGTAGCCACAGAGGAACGCTTCTTCCAGCATCCTGCGAGCGCGTCGTTATGCCCGAGAGAGCAAGCTCGCTATTAGCCCGCATGCGCCACAGCCAAATAGAGCTTGCTCTTGCTCAAAGTAGGATATCGCTGGAACAATCAACCCAAGAGCGTCCTCCCTTCTCCCGACCCAGCGACGACATACCATCTGCGTGAACAGCTGCTTTGGAGCTTGCCAGCTGGCGCTTAGTGGGATTGTGACGCCCAGCTTCGAACCCTTCGCCGACGGGCGAGTGAAAACGCACCGGCCAATCAAAAGCGCGCAAAAACCCAGGTCACGATACCCGCCCAATCAAAAGATGGCGACAGGCGATTGCCAAGTCACTTGACTTTGATTGGCTCTGGAGCCATTTTCCGTCGCCTTGAAGCCGCCGCAAGCGACCAAGTTGCCATTTCCAAATTTGCTCGCCTCGATGCACTCGACGACGACCTCGAACATGCAGTCGCCTGAGCGCCGCTTTGGCTGCCACATCCCTGGCTGCGGCAAGCGCTTCAAGCGCAAGTTCACGCTGCAGGAGCACCTCAACACGCACACGGGCGCGCGCCCGTACGTGTGCGACTACGACGGCTGCAAGCGCTGCTTCTCGACGCACGGCAACCTCAACCGCCACAAGTTTATCCACACGGGCGAGAAGCCTTTTGGCTGCACGACGTGCCTCAAGCGCTTCTGCACGAAGGAGAAGCTCGTGCGCCACGTCAAGACGCACACCAACGGTCTGCGCGCCTATGCGCCCGCCGACATGACGTCGTTCCGCAAGGCGTCGACCTCGACGGACGACGAAGGCAGCCACAGCGACTGCAGCATCGACCTGCACCCAGTGCCCAAGCCAGCGACCGCCAGCGACTACTGCTTTGACGACGAGTTCCTCTCGAGCAAGATCCACGACGAGATTCTGCTCGCCCTCCAGTCGCTCGACGTCGAGCCGACGCCGGCCGCAGTGTGGCCGCAAGCGCCGACGACCATCAACAACAACAACAACCACGACATGCTGACCGCGCTTTGGGTCGACGAGGCCCCGATCATGGCGTTGCCCAAGGCCGCCGAGGCCGAGCCGTTCCCGGTCACTTGGAACTTGGACGACCTCGACGACTTTTACACGATCAAGCCCGAAGGCAACTGGTTCGTGCCCGAGCCGTTCCCGCAGACGGCTTAAACGCCCCGTCCTGTGTAGACGCGGCAGCTGCTCCACACCCTATTTAACTAGGAGGCGCAACGCTCGCTTTCGCGCAACTCCGGTTCCGCCATCGCGCAGTCTTGCGACCCCCGACCTCGGTTGTAGCAATCCGTACTAGTGCTAGTTTTGTTAGTCATAGGTAGTTAACTTTCTCGATATCCAATCGCACCGGCGACCGCCCAGTCCATTGGCCTTAAGTGGCTCGGACCCGGCGCCGCCCGTGTGTTCTCCTCCTCCATATCTTGCCACATCCTTCTTGCATCCATACGCAGTGCAGCGACAGGTCCTGGTCTGCAGAGATGCGTCCACAGGCTAAGAAGCCGATGCTGTTGATGATGCTACGGCAGCAACGGAAGAAGGAAGTCCCTCGGGCGCACGAGGTACCAAGAGAGCCGCAAGAATCGATCGCTGGATTCGCCTGGATTCGCCTGGATTTGAAAGCAGAATCTGAGATTTCCAGCGTTTGCAGAGCGACGAGGTGTTGGCGATTGCGCAATGCGTCCAGATTCTTCCTGTGGCGAGGCGGCTTAAGGACGGGCGCCACCCATCGTAATGTGATTGGCCATAATGTAGCCAATCAGCGACGATACAGGAACGTTGGGTCAATCGGGTGGCGAAACGTCTGGCATTACGCACAGGCGGCATGGACCGCGCCGACTCCTTTGACCTTTGTTGCCATCCACTGGATCTTTAGATTCTGTTTTGGCTTGAAATGCTGTTTGGGACAGTCCGACCAACCACCAAATCTGAGATTGGGGTGTCGATCCCACAGCGCGCCACGTGGGAGGCAGCCCAACAAGTCGAAATTCTCTGCACATTAGGATTCTGCGGGCTTCGCAGGGCAGACAAGACGCCCGAGCAAGATACGATATCGCCGGCTTCGTAGGAAGCCTCGAGAAGACTCTGACTGGAATGGAAGCGTGGAGCACTTCAACAACGGCGCAACCTCTTCTCAGCCCATTTGAGAATATGCTAGTCTCCGTACACTCGCAGACACTGCGAAGTCGAAGAAGATCCCTCCTGCTTGCTCTGTGTCACGATCCGACTTGATGGTATGCATCTTAACACTCTGCTGATTGTATCAGCTCTGGAGCTGGCGGCGAGTTTCGCGGCTGCCAACCGCTCGTCATTGCATCGAAGCGCCAGTGATGTCGGCAGCTCGAGTCAGTCGGACTCTTCTGCAGGAGATGTGAATCGGTTCCCAGTGCAAACCTCTGGAAAAAGATATACAGGGTCGATCCATTCTGAAAGGTTTTCAGGACATAAAATTCAGTGGCGTGCATACTGAAACGCAGATATATTTTTAAAAATATGCGTTCCCTGTCCACACCACTCCGTGCTCTGGCGCGTGATTGGCTGCGCGCGGTCTCCGCCGCTAAAGTGCGGCATCTCTCCCAAGGCCCGAGTTGCTTTTTATTATATTGCACCACATTCCTGATGTATTTTATTGATTTCCAAAAATCCCGACTAAGTTCGTATGTCAAGCCATCGCGAGTATACAAACACCAAGGTCGGGAAGCCCGTCATTCTAAATGCGCGTAAAGTGCGACGAGGTTTTTCACCCCTGGCATACAAATAGCAGTATAAAGTTTGTCTGAATGGACATCTCTTTAAAGTACGCATGGGCTCAAGAACGGTTTTCATTGTATTGCGCTACAAAACACACAGCATAAAATAAAAAGAAATCAATTCCGGTAAAGTCCGGGCGCGGTTTTTATTAGGCGGGCGAGAAGCGTCACTGAAAATCCCATCTTGGTACCGGCAGCGGCGAGGTCGGCCGCATGTCCCTCCACGTGTCCATCAGTGGCTATGGCCTCCTGCAGGACCCGCACAACCGGTTCCCCGACATCTTCGTACGCATCGCTCATGCGAAGCGCGGTCTCATTGCGCGTCGATCGATACGTAGGTCTTTGTGCTCAATGTGCAGCAGCCGCAGAGCGTGGCCTCGATCTCGACCTGGACCGTGTACCGCCGGCTTGAGATGTTTGAGCAGCTGAGCCAAAGCGTCCAGAGCGAGTTTCCGCAGCTGCGCCTGCCGCCATGCCCGATCATGCACGCGGCGTCGGCCATGAACCTCGGCAACCTCCATGGCATTGAGCGGTGTCGCGACGACCTGCAGCGCTGGCTCGCACACCTGCTCTCGTACCCGTACCAGAACTCGCTCTTGCAGTCGCACGCGTTTGTCAACTTTATCTCGGCCGAGGCCAATACGGTGCCGCAAGGCCTCCTTCTCTCGCAGCACTTCTTCCCAAACACCGCTGGTGGCCTCCCTGCCGCGCCCGCGCCCGCCGTCAGCGCCGACCACAACATTGGCGAAATGGACGTACGTGGCACATCTCACTTCTCGCCATGTGCTGAACGTCTCGCCGTGTAGATGGACTTCATGTTTGCGGGCGGCGACGATGCAACCAAGGACGACGATGTACGCACCTCGCTCTCGCGCCACTAATGCTCATCTCACCTGTAGCAATTCCAGTTTGACCACATGCCGCCGCCGTCGCCAGCGAACGGCCACGGCTCGCTCGACTCGTCGGTACGTCGCCACTCTTTTCGACGCATCAGAACCTCATCAAATGGCTAGAACTTCGACATGCAGCCCGCGGAGGGCAAGGTGGTGCTCGACGACTTCCACTTGATCAAGGTCATTGGGAAGGGCTCGTTCGGGAAGGTGCTCCTCGTGCGCAAGAAGGACAATGGCGTCGTGTACGCGATGAAGGTGCTCCGGAAGGAAAACATCATCAAGCGCAACCAAGTCGAGCACACGCGCACCGAGCGCCACGTGCTCGGCTACGTCCGCCACCCGTACATCGTCGGCCTCAACTATGCCTTCCAGACCAGCGAGAAGCTCTACTTTGTACTCGATTACTGCGCTGGCGGCGAGCTCTTCTTTCACCTCGGCAAGGTACGCGATACAAAGTCGATTCGTATCAATGTATCAATCGACGGTATCAGGTGCAACGCTTCAAGGAACCGCGGGCGCAGTTTTACGCGGCTGAAATCACGCTCGCGATCGAATATGTGCACAACCTCGACATCATCTACCGCGACCTCAAGCCCGAGAACGTGCTCTTGGACGAGAACGGGCACATTCGCCTGACGGACTTTGGTCTCTCGAAAGAAGGCATTCAGGTGCGTCGTATCTCCGAGTCTTGTACTGAAGACGGCGGTGTAGGACGACTTCTCGGGCGCCAACTCGTTTTGCGGGACGCCCGAGTACCTCGCGCCCGAGATCCTCAACCGCGCGGGCCATGGCCGCGCTGTCGATTGGTGGTCGCTCGGCGCACTGCTCTACGAGATGCTCACGGGCCTCCCGCCGTTCTACTGCCGCGACCGGTACGCACTTCGATCCTGACTATATTTATGAATGCATGTCGGCGTAGCGACAAGCTCTTTGAAAAGATCCGCCAAGGCGAGCTCACGTTCCCCAAGTACCTGAGTCCTGCGGCCGTCGACCTGCTCGCGCGATTATTGGAGCGTGACCCGACCAAGCGGCTCGGGACGGGCCCCACGGACGCCGGTAGTTTGTGTATGGTTGGGTGAGCTTTGGACTATCAAGTTGATACTAGGCGAGATCAAGTCACACCCGTTCTTCAAGGAGATTCAGTGGGACCTCCTCGCGCTGGGCCAAGTGCCCGTGCCGTGGAAGCCGACGTTCAGTGGCGCGCTCGACACGTCGCAGTTTGACCGTGAGTTTACCGACATGCCCATCAACAGCCCCGACACGCGCAGCAATTACGGCTCGTCGGTCGGGCGGCGCCAGCTCTTCCGGGACACAGAAGGGCTCTTCCAAGGCTTCACGTACACGGACGACGACTCGTACATGGAGTTTGCAAATCGCGGCCCGCTGCCGCCGAGCCACTTCTAGTCAAAGGATACCACGGAAAATATACATACCACCCTCTGAAACAGGCGTCATTTGTAGTTAGCATGAGTTTTGTTTTAGGGCTCAGCAAAGGGCGATACTCTCCTGTGTTACGCAGCTCGTTTTGATGTCACAACTCCTTTTCCTGTCGTCGCGTCCTCTCGGAATACTTGGTACAAGTCTCATTTCTTAGAGGCTGACATCGCGCGTACACGCTGCCACGTCATTGACTTGGCCACTGTATGACATACAAATGGAAAGTGATGGCATTGTGGACCGGAATTTGACCATGGCGAGCGTCGTGCTAACGTCGCCATCTCTGGCCGCGCTCGTGTTTCGCTTGCAACTTGGCGTCTACCTAGGGTCAATAATCAGCTGATTATTGACCCTTGCGTGTACGTAGGCGTCCGGTACTGGTTTCTGGGGGCGCGTGTCTTTACAAAGGTGGCACCTGACGCCACGGCGAGGTGCGACGACGGCCACTATGAACTGCCGCTCAGCTTTCGGTGCGTGTGAGCCGCAGTCGCCCGTGTGCATCCGTCACCTCGCTCCGCGCCAGCGAGATCGGCTTGGCGCGCCATTACCCCAACGACGTTCGGTTTCCGCTGCACTTGGCCATCTACGAGGGCGACGTCGCCGCTGTGCGAAGCCTACTATCCTGCCGGCGGCGGGTTGTGCCAGCATGCCACGGAACGCCATCGCGACGGCCCTGCGCGCGGTCAAGTCTTTGCTGACGCAAGGCTACCCTTTTGACGTCCGACGCCAGCCTCTTTCATCTCGCGCGCGACCCGATGATCATCGTGGCGCTTCTCCAAGAGTTCTACGCGCTTCGCCAAGATGCATGGATCGTAGCAGCCGAGATCAAAGAGTGACCGCAAGCAGCGACGGGCACACCGGCGATGCTACGGCATATTATATCTACATAGGCTAGATCGGTCGTGATCATATATGGGTCGTTACCGTACGCATTATTGATGTACATTTGAAGAGAGATGACGTGCTTCAAGGCAGTTTATGACGGGCTGCCGACGCTGTGGTTTCGCCACGCTATAGCTTATGTTTTGTATGGTATACAAAAACCAAGACCCCGCGATCGGATTGTAGCGACCTACATTCTCGCTTTTGCAAATGGCGAGCGTCGTGCTGACGTCGCCGCCTCTGGCGGCGCTCATCTGTGGCTACCAATTTGGCGTCTACGAAGACGTCCGATATCGCTTTCTTGAGGCAAATGTCTTTACTAAGGATACGTTGGCGACAGCAGATCTCTGGTTCCAGAACAAGTATGTCTTTCCGCCCACCTTTCGGCCGCTGCGGAGCGACGACGGCGCTCTGATCACGAGCATACTTGGCTTTAAGCTCGGCTTGGCGCGCGACGGTCCACATGACGCTCGGTTCCCGCTGCACTTGGCCATCTACGAAGGCGACATCGATGCTGTGCGGTGCATTCTGGCCTGCCGCCCGGACCTTGCTTTCGCCGAGGCCATCGAGACGGCGTTCCTGTACAACCGCCTCGCAATCGCGTCGTATCTCATGGACCAGCGGCGCTACCTTCCACAGCTCTGTCAACGCTTCGAGCCGCTGCGAAAAGATGCAGCGTACGGGCCATGGCTTCTCGGCCGGAGGCTGCCGTGGTCGTGCATTCCGCGTGCGGACGTCCGCCTTATCCAGCTACTGCGAACGTACACGACGATCGGGTGGACGCCACGCGTTTTAGAGCACGCGGTGACTGCTGGGAAGAGCGTGCTGGCCGAGTACCTCTGCACGCACGTGCCCGAGACGAAGTATCCTGGTTTTATCGACGACGTGGCTGCGGCGGGACTGCTCCCGCTACTGCAGACGCTCCCTGCCCGCGGCTTTGCGTGCTCGAGCAACACGATCACGCGCGCTGCAGCATACGGTCGTCTCGACGTTGTCCAGTTCCTGGTGGCGCTCGGCGTCGCTGCGACCTCGCACGCGCTCACACAAGCCGCCGCCAACGGCCACGTCTGCGTTGCCGCCTACTTGCTCGACGTCTTCGCGTCCAGCGATGCCGAGGTCGATGCCGTCTTTGCTGCTGCGATACAGTTTACACACTTTGACGTGGCAGCGACGCTCGTCCATCGAGCGACCGTGCAACCAAATGTTGTTGTCGCTGCGCTACAAGAGCGCAACATCAACGGCGCGCGCTGGCTACTCGCACACGGGTTTCCCTTGGAAGCGGCGGCCATCGATGCGTCTCTACTTGATGCCAACGCGTACTACCCGATGCCGCTTCTCTTGCTCTTGCACGAGTGTGGCATTGCGCTCCGCGCCGAGTGGATGCCCAGTCAGGCGGCGTACACCGCCGCAATCGCGTGCTTGGAGGCACATTGCCGTCGACCCTAATCCCTCATCCCTCATCTAGCGTAACGCCTACACAACTAGATCGGAATGCGCAAGACATATCTTCTCAATGTAAGGCGTCATAGAGGCACGAGAGCGCGCTACGTCACGAAGAGAGTACCCCGGCCGGGGTCCAAGAATAGGGCCATTCCAAAAGCCTCGCTCGCCGATACAGTCGCAAGCTGTAGCTATGCGAGCGCTCAAGGTGGTGTGCAAACGCAGACTACTCGAACACGCTACGAGACTACAGTATTTTGATACTCTGGGACACATTAGCCCACATTATTGAACGGCACACGAAGCTGCGAAGCCAAACTGGGCGCCCGAGATATCTTGGGGCGTCATCTCTTGGCACCGGTCACGTCTCTCTTCGAGAAGCGCCACAACGTCAAAATGCTTGTTGCGCCGCGCGGCCGTGAGGCCCTTGTGCGTACAGCGCTGGTGTGTGTTGGCATGCAAAAATTCCAGGATGGCCACGTCGCCGTTGGCCGCCGCTGCGTCCAAGGCGGCGTTGGAGCAGCTCCCGAGTCGTCGCGCGTGGAGCTCTTTTAGGAGCGGCAGACTGCGCGCTCTTGCGGCGTAGTCCATCGTGTAGGTGTACTTTTGCTTGACGCGTGGCAGCTTGAGCGTCGTGGCATCGGGAAATGTGGCGAGAAGGGCGAGAGCCGTCGTGACATCGCGGTCTTGGACGAGCTTGCACAAGACAAAACCGCGGAAGCGCGCGGGTGTTGCGATGAGATGCGTCACTTCAGGGTGCGCCTTCTGGGAGACGTGGCCGAGCTGGCGGCGGTAGCGTTGGCAGGCCAGGCCGACCGCCATCGGCACGCCCTGCTGGTAGCTTAGGACCGTGCGCAGGAGGTCGGTCTGGGTCAAGACGGTGACGCTTGGTGCGCTCATGTTAGCGAGAATGTATTGACGTACAGCAACTGAGTACGCGGCAGTGGCTCTGGCACCGCCTTTGTTCACGGTAGAGCACCCGCATATCCAAACTACTCTCGTCGCGTGTCATCTCATTTCACTTGCTTTCAGTATACGCTCTAGACAGGCGGACGCCACGACGAGCCAATCCGATGCGTCCATGGAGCTTTTTTTAATTCACATACCAATACGTAGATATTAAAATAAATGTAAACGAAAATATACAACCAATCACGTACAGCGACGACCGAATGTCAAGGTCGTTCTGCATTCCCTGCGCCTTCAACAACACGCACTTGAACGGTCGCTTCGAGTGGACGTCGCAGAGAAGACGGTCGACTAAGGTAGGTACTGTTCTGTTCCCTTGGTACTACACGTACAGTAAATGAAGAATTTAGTCTACACAGGCGTGGCCCGCAGCGCCAGCGCTAGCAGAGTGAGAAGCGCGCCGCTGGAAGGTACGATGATACCGAGAAGGTACAATTGGGAGGGCTCTTCGTCGCAGCCGCTGCCGCCGGCGAGGCGAAGGCAGCGCGTGGTATCAAACATCGACGCCATCGTGCCCGTCACGGACGTGGCCAAAATGACAAAAAAGGCAAAGTAAATGACACTGGCCACTCGCGGGTAGCTGCCGCCACGTGCCTTGAGGTCGGCGACCGCGGCCTTCTGGCTCGGCAAGAGAAAGACGCAGAGGCAGCCGAGACCCGTCGCCGCGTACGAGATCACATACGTGTACGCGACGTTGTTCCGCGTCTCGGGCGCATCGAGCGCAATGCGCTCTCTCCCAACGTCAAAGTGGGCGTCGAGGACGTTGGTGAGCAGCGGGCCAAAGACGCCGGGGAGATTCGCGATCGTCGTCAAAAGGCCGTACATGACGCCTTCGCTGCCTTCTTCGGCGAGCTCGATGATGACAAACGTGCCAACGACAAAGTTGATGCCCAACGGCAGCTGCGTCGTGAGCGGGACGCCGAGGAAGAACCACTGGCTGCGGAGCACGTCGTAGATGGTGCAATATACCACGAGCGCATCAATCACATTCGCTCCAACGGCCGTGATGACGAGCACGTAGCGCCAGTTCCACTGGGTGCCATACTTGCCCGTGGCCGCGAGCACGCTGGCAAAGATGAGGCTGCCCAGAATGCTTGTCAGCGCTGCGTTGAGCGTCTCGACCTTGGCCCAGTAGAGTGCCACGTACGGCGCGGCGGTCGTGTTGATGTACGAGTTGCAGAGCGAGAAGAGGAAGATGAAGACCATGACCTGCCACACGACGCGCTTCTGCGCGAGCGTCCAGAGCCGCGCCAAGTAATTCGCGACCGACACGGGCTGCGTCGCTTTCGTGTCGCGAATGAAAAGCCACACGATCGGCACGTTGAGGATCGAAGTGGCGGCCAAAATCCAAAAGTACCCGTTGACGCCAATGTCCCAGTCGTATGTGCCGGCCATGCGCGTCGAGTTGAGGCAAAAGCCGTAGATCGCCGTGATCCCTGCCGAGCAGACGGTGCGTACCGCGTAAACCATCGACTGGAGCCGGCCGCGCGTCACGAGCGGCTCGCGCTGGGCGTACGCGACCAGCAGCGCGTCCTGCGCGACGTCGGCCATGATGTAGAAAAAGCAACCGACGGCGCAGAGGAGCGCGAGCGTCGTGCCATTGGCATTCGCGCTCGGGTCTGGCGCGGGCGCCCCCGCGGGCTTGCAGGCGACAATCGTCAGTAGCAGCGCCGTGAGGGTCCACCCAAGTAGGATGTATGGCTTGCGGTGGTAGCCGCAGATCGGCACGCAGTCGGTGAGGAGGCCAAAGAAGACCTTGAGCGACCAGCCGAGGCCCATGAGCGCCGTCGCCGAGTTGAGCACATTGCCTTCGAGCTGGAAGTAGCCCGTGAGAATCGGGTACGTCATGCCGTAGATGCCGCCGTCCACGATGCCAATGCACGCGTACTGGAAGAGGAGCGCAAGGATCTCGGGCGACGTGGCGGACGGTGCGTCGCCGTTGCGGAGCGCGCCGCCTTCGAGGTCCGTGGGCGTCTTGACAGGCTCGAAGCTGGCATCGTCGTCAAATGGCAGATGCCGAGCGCTGCTGCGGACCGAGCTCAAAAACGAAAGCCGGTCGTCCGAGTACCGTGACGGGCGCGCCGTGCCCACCATGGCAAACTGCAAACTGGTAACTCGCACGTACGATGAGGAGCAGCAACAGTGGTCAGACATGTCTGGCAGCACGAGATTGCAGCGCCTTGAACTCTACTGGCACCATTAAGCTGAACCATTACGTTTTGGTCCAGCTGCCCACCGAGTTCTTATCCGATTCATACGCTGAGAGCACTCAGCCGCTGCACACATTTGCCCACCACCTGCAAGGACAGAGACTCGAGCTTATTGTTGTTGAAATGAGTTATAAACATGCAATTATATAGTCAAGTTGGTGGACTTCCCAGTGCGCTCGTGAGGTTTGGCCGGTACGTCAAGCTGAGGGCGCGTGGTCGGGGCTCGGGATTGAGTGGAGAATGAGGTAGCGAGTACACCAAGGGTGTAGGGCATGGAGCGACTCGGCAAGCGAAGGCACCACGGCGCGGCGAGCCAAGTGCCGGATATGCAATCGCGTGATAGTAGCGGCTTTGATCGCGAGCGCAGCAGCGGGAAGGGGCGTCAATGTCGTGCGAAACACGCGGTTGTTGCGTTCGAGCCAAAGACGGTACCAAACGCAAGCGCGCAAGATCGGCCAGAGGGTACGGATGGTCGACTTGTGGGCTGAGAGCGACGGGATCGTAGACGAATCCACCGACCGACGGCAGAAGTTGCAGCTGCAAGATTTCGCGCATCTGGTCAAAAGCGCGCCAGACCGCGCGGAGAGAGACTCAAGCTTATCACGCCCAGAGTGCCGAGCGCCTATAGCTTGGACGCATGGACACGATCGCGCTGGTCGGCTCGTTGCATGCACAGTACCACCACTGACGCGGGGGCCACTGGTGGGGTGTACGAGGACAATATTTTATAGCTCCAGAATCGAACCCTTGTTAGAGGGAAGGCTTAGAAGTGCACGCTGTAGTAATTGGCGGGCTCGATGTGCTTGGCACCACCGTAGAAGTCCAAGAGCAAAATCTCAGTCGGGTGCATCTCGTAGCTAGAGTGGCAGTTTTTAGACTTTTTTTGACGACATAGAGTGCTACGTACGCTGTGAAATCGTGGCCGCGTGGCCAGTAGCTCATCTGCGGGTGCCTAGCGCAGGTAAGTGAGTCCCTCATCATGACACGGCGGCGCGTACTTGGAGAATAGCGCCGAGAGCGCATCGTCCACCGCGACCGCGGGGGTTAGGGTCCCCGAAAAAATCACACGCCAGCACGTCGGGTCCTACGGTCTCCCTTGGCAAGGCCCTTGTGTTGTCCATCGATATACCTGGGGATCGTACGTGCAATGACCGAGTTGCGCCATCGTGATCGAGACGGACGCACGCGGGTTGGCGGCCAAGTCCTTGCCTACACCACCCCAAATAAATACTACAAAAACCCATTAAACACGCAAAGCGCACCGGTCGAGCCCATGATGCTCGAGTAAAAGTAGAGACGACCCGTCGCGTTGCGGGGCGACGCACCGATGCCATCTAGAATACCATCGACCGATCAACGTCTGCAAATTACGTGAAAGGCGCACCGCTGTACGAGATCATACTGGCGAACGGCGCGCCGTCGAGGTGCACGCTTGTCGTGGCGATCGTGGCCCAGTCGTTGGCATGCACGATCCAGCGGGCAATGCGCGCGCTAGATCTTGGTCCATGGCGCGGCCTCAGAATAAGAAATGGTACCTGATCCACGCGTCCTCAGTCAGGTTGCTCGCGATGTCCAGCGGAGCGTTAATGAGTGCGAGGTCGGCGGCCGAGACGCCAGCGAGCGTCGAGAGCGACGGCGAGCTCGCGAGCGTTGTCGCCATCCCCTCCATGTTGACGCGGGGTGCCTGGGAGAGGACGAGGCCGACGCAGAAGACACCGACGGCGCCCACCAGCAAACCCGCGAGGAACCCGTGGCGACGGGGCGCGGCGGCCCCCGGCAGCATCGACGATCGCTCCGACATGCGCTCGAAAAATCGAAAAGTGCCAACTTCAACCGCGAGTTTGATGTGCAAGCGACCAGATTCGATGTTTAAACCCACGTCAAACTATGGGTTTAACGCATGCCGGGCCGGAGGAGGTGGAGCGACGCAGTGCAAGCTCGCTTCAAGCGCCTTCAAGTTCAAGGGACGCTGCGGCATCGAGAGAAAAGAGACATCCGGAGCTTCTATCATAGGAGCCTCGATCGGACGGCGAACGTAATGCCATCGCGCGGAGGAGAGTCCGTTCCGGGCAGCGACGTCGCCTGGTGACGACGGCCTGCACCCTACTTCCGCTGCTAGTAACGAGCGCACCTACGCGACAAATGAGCAAGTTGCTCTATCATAGATTCCGTGTCGACGACGGGCCCTCGATGGCACAAGGTGTCGGCACTGCAACATGACCTGGGCTCACTGAAGGTGAACACCGTTACGGCCCGGCGCCTGTCGGCAGAACGAGAAGGTAGGAGGCACCAAAGGACATTGCTTTGGATGCATTTCCCGCCCTTATCTTCAACGTCATGGAAGCACGTCCTCGTCAGAGGCCGAGGAAGCCACCGAGGGTGGTCACCACGTTTAAACATCAATAAACGCAACATATGCGTTTTATTCCGGATCTGATGGGAAAGCCCCTGTGGCGTGGTTGCCATGATTCGTTGAGGCGTGCAAGGGATCCTACTCTAGACTACTACCATCTTATAGCCGCCAAGCGCGGCGCAAGGACGATGGCTCTTGCTCTTGCCGGAAGCGACGGTGGTCTGAGTCAGCCACCTGATATCGCAGAGGCAGCGCCGTGCCCCTGTCTCTGTTGATGTCGGACTGTTCCGATCGATACCCTTCTCCGGCGGGAGGATGGCTGCCTGCAGCCAATGCACGCGGAGTTTCCCTGGATGCCTCAACATACCACCAGAAACGAGCGGTCACGACGGCGGGAGCGTGGCTCAGCCGCATCTCATTGGCTATCATTGGGCCAATCATACGCCGTCTTGGTGTGCTGGCACGCTCTTGTCAAGGACGCCACTTGACGCGTGCGATATGCTCGTTCGTGTCGCATGCTTTGCATTGCCGAGCCTGTGCAACGCGTTTGTTGAAGCGTCGGGCGAAGGCTCATGGCGTGGGTTCCTTTATCCTTGCGTGTTCTGGCGTCCTCGCTGGCGACTTGCATACAGGCGCAGGATCTTACGATTGCAGTGCACGCATCCGCCCGCGGCGTCTCCAACGTGGGTACTTGTCCATCACGTTACACGGTGGTATTCCCTGCGTGGGACGGCTGGCGACCGATGATGCGGCACTCTTTCTTCGCAGCCGCCTACCGCCACCGGCTCTGCGTTGTGCAACGCCAAAGGAATAGGCGCGATGTCCCAGCTCCAAGCAGCGCGACGCGTCGATGCGGCGCTTGATTCCTCCATGTCAATGAGCGCGCTTTGCCTTGCCATCCAATACGGCATGTCGCAGCGCGCGGTCAACTTCAACACCGCTTTGCAAAGCGAAATCGCCCAATCGAAAGTGTTCGCGCTAGAAAGGCCGTCGGATGCGACCAATCAACGGCGCGAATCAAAGCCACCCGCACCAATCACCGCGCAGTGCTTGTGTGACGCAGGGCAATTCCGTGATTGCAGCACCTAGGTGACAGCGTTATGGGTGAAGCCCCAAATTCGCTTAATCCGTACCGGCGCTCGAGACAACCTCCGCCGACGCTGTTCATTGTATGTGTCGGGAACGAGTATTGTTTGTTTCGCGATACAGTCGACGGCCACTCGCAACCAAGATAAACATATAAGAACACACTGCAAATAAGAATAACAGCACTGGCGTGGCCAAGCTTCTACCATGCGAAACGACTAGGTCAAATTGCCGCCTCGCATATCCAGCCTCATCCAAGCACCCATGGCCATGACGTTTCGTGCAGCGTGTGGCTGCTTCATACTTGCATTCATCCTTGCTCGACCAGACAATCCAACTCGAGAGTCTTGCTCGCTCGCATCTGTCGTCTCGCAACACGGCACACAAGGGCACGTACTGAATAAGGGAATCGCACAAGGGCAACGTCGTGATCCCACGTGCAAAGCACAGTTTGACGTGAATTCCTCCCGGCTGCGCAGCGTGGGACAGTCGTTGGCCAAAGACAAGATGTGGGTGTGGCATGCAGCATTGGTCGTCACGACGCGCCGACCAAACTCGAGACGCGCCGTGCACCTTGGTGTTTGTATGGCGTGGCGCCTCCGATTTGCTACTGACTGCGGCGACGATCCTTGCACTGGCTCACAAACTTCAGGAATCGGCCTCCTACGGTATTCGGACAGGACAGCCGGCACTTGAGGTGGAAACGTCGCATAGCGCGACGGCGGAACATGCCACAGTGGGTCTCACTTTCCTATTTGCATCAGAGATTCCATGTCGACCGACGCGTTGCTTCCCGAGGACGACGACCGCCGCTTCGTGTGCCCGATCGACGGCTGCAACAAGCGCTTCAAGCGCAAGTTTACGCTCCAGGAGCACGAGAAGACGCACAGCGGCATCCGCCCGTACGTTTGCCCGGTGCCCGGCTGCGACCGCCACTTTAGCACCTCCGGGAACCTCTCTCGCCACACGTTTACTCACACGGGCGAGAAGCCGTATGCGTGCGCTTGGGAGAAGTGCGCCAAGCGGTTTTGCACGCGCGAGAAGCTCGTGCGCCACCTCAAGACGCACGTCGGACTGCGGCCGTACACGTGCCCGACCTGCGCCAAGTCGTTCACGACGTCCGGCAACCTCGCCCGCCACGCGAAATCGCACCTTCCAGCGTCGCAGCGCGGCACGACTGGCGTCGCCCGGACGCTCAAGATCATGAAGAAGCGCCGCGTCGCCGACGAGCTCGCGACGCCGATGGCGTGCCAAGCGCCGCTGGGCATTTCGCTGCTGCTCGACGAGTCGACCGACCCGACCCCGCTCGACAGCCCCGAGTACGCGTCGCCCTCCGACGACGCCGACATTGAGGCCATGTGGCTCGAGCAGGACCTCGAGCGGCTCTGCTTGCCGTCGGGTGCGAGCAGTGGCAGCGAAGCCCCGTCGCCGAACATTTTGCAGGCCCACCCCCCGGCCATGTGGAGCACGAGTGCGTACCCGCCCGTGCCGAGCCCGAGCCCGTGGCCCGTCCAAGGCGTCTACGGGGGCTTATAGACCAACAAGCGTGCTGTCGTCGTACTAGTATAATATGTTAACTTAAAACCCTCCCTTCCCACGACAACTACAAGAATTTCGCAACAATAACTCGTTCTAGTTGGTACATTTCTTGAGAGAGCAGTGGCAAAGAACCAGATTCGGATTGTGAAAGATCTGCAAGATCCAGTGCGCACGTCCAGGATGGCGCCAGTGTGGCACTGGAGCAGCACAAGACATCCCACTGCCAATCCTCAAAAGCGACGAAGTCCCACTCGGTCGTCTTGGGCAACGCTTCTACCGTGTTCGATTCGATTGCCCGCCGTCGACCATCCATTTACTGTACCAATAACAAGACAGGCGCGTGATCCCAAGGGGGAACGACGACGTCCGGTGGTCACGCCCGTGAATGGCGCTCAGGTGTATTTTTTAGTATTTTTCTCTGGTCCTGACCATTTCGCTCATCTCTCTACTTCTCGCATCGTGTGGGCGGGTGTTGACACGCGTTTCTTATATCGTGTAAGATAAACACCCTGGTAAGAGCTTTCATCTCTATAATAACATTGGCCTGAATGATGAAATTTGGAGACATCAGATTATCCAGCAGTTGCCCCTGCACCCGTGGATGACGTTCAACATGGCGTGTCGCGTCTTGGTCGGATCCACAGCGGCAGCTCTTGCCGTCGTCAAGTCACCCGTAGAGACATCATGGTTCGAAATATCAACACATTGGATGTGTGCCCCAGGAAAGGGAGCAACTGTCGCGCGCTGTGAAATTACAAACTGCCGAGTTGACTCGCAGCGGTGTCGCCAGCAAGCGCCGACATGGACGCGCTTTCACAAAGGGTTCATACCAGCGTCGTACAGAATCGTCGAAAAGGCAGGCACAGTTGCGGTAGCCGCTGTCCACCATACCTCGAGTTACACCATGTCTTTGGCTGGACCAATCGCTGACCGATTGAAGCTCAAGACTTGCAAAATACATCGAATCTTCCGCGGATGCGACAAAGCGCATCGCGTCAAATTACCATGTGTGTGCCAACATATGGTGTATCTGATATGGATCTTATTTGGTACGCGCTAACTGTGGAGTCGTTGGTTGCACTTCAGCAAAAAGGCGCCTGGCGTGTGCAGTCGCTTGGAGGAGAGCGCGTCGCTCCCTCCTGCGTATTTTATGGTTTTGCTCAACAACGTACGCGTGTGACCAGCGCTCTGGACACAGATCCGCCACATTGGCGGCTGCCGCTCCAGATCTTATATCCGTTACAATTTCCTAGTGTATATCATCTAAAAATGATCTGTCGGACGCTACACCACCCTCAGGGCGTTGAACCGCGCTTGAGTTCAAGTTGGAAGAGGCATGTCCCGTGCAACAACCAATATTTGTGAAGCATTCGAACGTTGAGAGCGTCCACCCTCCTTTCGCCCATCACCTTGCGTGGTCCGCCGCCTGCGCGTGAACCGCTCCTGATCAAAAAAGTATAAGCTCGAACAGCAGCTATGGCAACGTATTGCATGTAAAAATCGCATCGGTGGGCCGCGCCAACTGTTGTTGTTGGGACTGCGCTTGCAGACTTCAGGACGAGATGCGCACCACGTGGCAGTGTCGACACCGCTGGACGTGGATCGTTCGCGCCACATCCCAGGATCCCAACGCAAGGGCCAGCGCCTTTGGCCAGATGAAAACCTGTGCTTCTCGACATCATAGTCGACTTCATTTAGCGTGCACATCATAGACAGCAAATCATGTGGCAATAGCGAACCTCGATGGTGTTGACGCGGCGTCTCGAGCAGCGTCAGCGTTTGGCTTTGAATGTATGTATACAGCGCTCCGTAGTCCTAGAGCGTGCTCCCGTGCGCCTGTCGACGTGGAAGTCCACCTATGTTGTGGCTACTTCGCGTGGTGCCGACTCGACGACGCCGTGTGCAAGCAACCACCAATATCGCCGAGTCTTCGCGACGTCCCGGCGTGCGCAGGATACATTTGACAAGAGCAAATCTCGCACGGGTGCGACACGGCAAAAGATCACGCGTTCCTCGTGTAGCATCGCGCCGGCCGTCCACGACCAGCCCAAAACTACATGGTGCAAGCAAGCACCATCTGTTGGTTTTAGCCACTGTGGCCATGACAGCAGTTGCCTCGAGAGTGGGCTGGCACTGGCACAATGGGTCAGGCTTCTGGACACAGCGTGCAAGGCAACGCTGCCACATCTTGCGCACAAGGTGGTGTGGCCCGAATATCTCTGCGCCCACGGTGCAGCAGAGCCGGCGATCCCATCACCCGCGCTCTCCCCGACTGCCATCGTTCGATTGCTCGTGGTAGCGTCCTTTCATCTCATTTCGCTGACGCGCTCGGGTGCTCGAGCCCACTCCGTTTCGTGTCAGAAGGCACGCGCCCGCCGAGTTCGATCCGTCTTGACTCGTCCAGACGGTGTCGCTGCAGATGTCGACCCCGCGCAGCCAATGAGATGCGATGGCGCGTGGATGTGGCCCGTCACGGGTCGCCTCGCCGATGTGGCATCCATTGCAAACTTCAGAAAGCGTACTGACCTCCAACTTCGGTACTGCGTTGGAATTCACAGTTCACTTTTCCTTTTGACCGCTGAGACTCACCATGTCGCTCTCACCGCCGTCGTCGCCCGAAGACCGCCGCTTCGTCTGCCTGATCGACGGCTGCAACAAGCGCTTCAAGCGCAAGTTTACGCTCCAGGAGCACGAGAAGACGCACAGCGGTGTTCGCCCGTACGTCTGCGCTATTGACGGCTGCGGCCGCCACTTTAGCACCTCCGGAAACCTCACGCGCCACACGTTGACGCACAACGCCGAGAAGCCGTTCGGCTGCGGCTGGGAAGAGTGCGCCAAGCGATTTTGCACGCGCGAGAAGCTCGTGCGCCACCTCAAGACGCACGTCGGACTCCGGCCGTTCGAGTGCAGCGTCTGCAACAAGGCGTTCACGACGTCCGGCACCCTCGCCCGCCACTCGAAATCGCACCCGGAACTGGGCTCTGGCGACTGCCACCACGAGGCACTGCTGTGGGAGTTGCCCGCGCTCCTCGTGCCGACCAAGAAGCGCCGCGTCGCTGAGGAGCTGGCCGTGCCCCTTGCGGCTAAGCCGCCGCTTCCGCACTCGACGGCCGAGATTGCCATGGCGCTCTCCGAGTCTGAGCTGTACGAGTGGCCGATGCCGACGACCTTTGAGCCCGTAAACGCGATGCCGGTGCCGGCCATGGTGTGGCCGCAGTACGCTGCCCACGCACTGAGTTTTTACACCGAGTCGCTCCCGACCCCTTACTACGCGCAAGATTATCTCTACGGCATTTAGCAGGCACATGAACTATGGACCACCGAGATAGAGTTATTAGCAGCATCGTTTGATGCGATTAATTATTAACATGTAGCAGTATAGTCGTGCCAACCCCAGACTAGTAACAGCAAGCGGTGCCTCTCGCCGCATCCATCTCGAAGCGCATCATGGACGTGGGTGCGTTGTCTCGAACGCAGCGTGTCCGACAACTTTGCGTGGTACGGGGTTGTGTCCTCCCCGCTCGGAACGCAATGGCAACTGCCGTCAAGGCACGAGTCCTGCCTTATGACAGACAACCATCAATCAGCCCTCGTCTTCAACCAAGCAAATTCTCTTTGTGTTTGTATCAAATAGCGAGTTGCGTTGGCGACGGCCTTGACACGCCATGGACGATCCAGGGACACTGTCGCAGACCCCTAGCAGTTGTCTTCAACGTCTGGAAACGTCTTGATGTTTGTATGCTTCGTCACCGACGCTGGCTCGAAGGGCAACTGCCGTGTCCGCGTGCACCATCGCGTCGTAGCACCGCACATCCTTTTGACCGCAAATGATGTGCTCCGGCGGGGGCGCCGTCGAAGACCTCGTCCTTACGCGGCCTGTCCTTTTCATTTTCATTTTCATTTTTGCTGCGCCATGGAGCTTGACCGACCGTTCCAGTGCCCCGTCGACGGCTGCAAGAAGCGCTTCAAGCGCCGATTTACCTTGCACGAGCACCAAAAAACACATACGGGGCTGCGGCCATTTGCCTGCGTCGAGCCCAACTGCGGCAAGCGCTTTACCACATCTGGGAACCTGATTCGGCATTCGCACACGCACCGCGTCGACAAGCCGTTCGCGTGCGCCTGGAACACGTGCGCCAAGCGGTTTTGCTCGCGCGAGAAGCTCGTGCGCCACCTCCCGACGCACGTTGGGCTGCGACCTTACGCCTGCCACGTGTGCGGTCAGTCGTTCTCGACGTCGGGGAACCTGGCGCGCCACACCAAGACGCAAGCCCATGCGAGCACCCAAGGCGACGCGATATCAAGCTCAACGTGGATGGATTTGAGCCGGCTTCTTCTCAAGGACGACCTTCCGATCGCAAAGACCAAGAAACGCAGTCGCGTCGCGGACGAGATCGCCATGCCGCGCGTACCACTAAATGTCGAGCCAATCCAAGTGCTGCCGTACGACGCGGAGCCGTGGAGTCGGGACGGACTCTGTAGCGCCATGACGGCAGGTTTATAGTTGTCGTAACTTCCTTTATAACTTGGTGCTGGATGGCACAGCGACAATGCGGAGCTGGCATCCAAACAAAAGACGCATTCACGTAGTGGTAGGTGAAGATTCGAATCTAGTATGGATGCAACTACTGCTAGTTGTACGGCTGTTCGAGGTCATTGAACGTGCGTCTTCGCCGTCGCCTTGGCTGCAGAAAAAGCTCCTACACGCTTGTCCGGGCCCGATGCTCCTCTGTTCCTAGGACCCGTCGTCGAGCGCAAAGCGACGCTCGAATCTCGTGGTGCTTGGGCAGAGTCGACGCGCAGAAGGTACGAGTGACGTCACGGCAAGCTAACACAGAGGGCGTTCAGTGATATGTGCTGGACTATTCAACTCGTTGAAGGATAGGGTATCCGCCGTCGGATAGGCACTTGAATTTCGCCAAGCTCCGATGATCGATCGAGCATATTCTTGGACAGCGAGCGTTCGCAAAACGACACTAGCGATGTTATCACTGATGAAGTGAGTTCTCTTGTCTCGTGCAGAACGTGTACGTCCATGGCGCTCACGTACTTGAGTGCCATCGGCTGCGCGCTCCTGGCATCGGGCCCTACCCCTATACCAGTCGCCACACCACGACCAAACTCCAGAGCGCTTGGAGTTACTGGCTGGCGAGCGTCCAAGTGCTACGCCTCCCCTTCCGCAGAGGCGCGACCATCAAAGTTGCTGGACGCACGGTGCGATAGGCATTTGCGGTGCCACGCGTAGCTACTTTCGAAAGCACACACATCGGCCATCCTTGACATGAGTAGCCACTCGATAGCTCTTGGCGGATCCATGACGGCGCTGTCGTGAAGGCCCGCGTAGGACCTCGATGCATCACCCTAGGACGATACGGTGTGTGGCATGTCCACGACCGAGCACCAACCTTGATGGCAGCCGGCGAATATGCTCTCAGACCAGAAAGTCATTCCGACAGCAAGTATTTGTTTCGCACCTCAGTCCAGTGGTTGCCATTGCAACTGGAAAAATAGATTCATGAGATTCCAATTTCGGGAATCGACAGTGGGACTCGTAACATGGAGGAATCTTTTGCCATGGCCAGTCGACGTCGAGACCCCGCATTCATCTTCATTTACACCTGGCTTCGCTGTAGCTGGCTCCAATCGCAGCTCGTACCACGTCAACCAAGGGCAGCAACCGCACATCCTGTTCGGTGACCGTCAGCACTGCACGCAAGATTCGAACTATAAATTTCATTTTCACTTTCACTTTGCGACACCATGGAGCCCGACCGACGCTTTGCCTGCCCCGTTGACGGCTGCAACAAGCGCTTCAAGCGCAAGTTTACCTTGCACGAGCACCAGAAGACACATTTGGGACTGCGGCCATTCGTCTGCGTCGAGCCAAACTGCGGCAAGCGTTTTACCACATCTGGCAATCTTGTCCGGCATTCGCATACGCACCGCGTTCAAAAGCCGTTTGGTTGCGCTTGGAACGCGTGCGCCAAGACCTTTTGCTCACGCGAGAAGCTCGTGCGCCACCTCTCAACGCACGTCGGACTGCAGCCGTACGTCTGCCATATCTGCGGGCGGTCCTTCTCGACGTCCGGCAACTTGTCGCGGCACATGACCATGCAGATGCATACGAGCACCGAAGTCGATGCGCGATCGAGCATGTGGAGGGACCTAAGCCAGCTCCTCTCCGACGACAACGAGCTGCTTGGCAGTGCGAAGAAGCAGCGATGCCGCATCGCCGAAGAGATTGCCATGCCCCGCGAATCAGCCGACTTCGAGCCGATCCAAGCACCCACGTTGAGCTTCGCCAACCTTTGCAGCGTTGAGGGGCTGTTGTTTGGCGATGGTGGGATGTACTAGTATCGTCTCTAAGACTGAAATGACCCACAATGCATTTTTACGTGTCCCTTGTCAGCGTCAAAGTCGGAGGCCGCTGACATCGCCAGTAGTACTACTCGCCAAGACGTTTACAGGTTCTAGCGCGCACCGTAGCCGTCCGCGGGCTGGAGCACTGGCTGTGAAACTCATACTTTTCTCAGCATGTAAAAGCTGCATCGCCAAGCGGTTGCTTGGGCAGAGGACGTATTCGGCTCTCTTGAGCGAAGGCGACGTCGCTCCGGTTTGAACTAGACATCAACATAAGCGACAGGATGGTGCGGGTTGCTGATGCGAGGTCACCTATCCGGATAGCTATGGCCAACGACAAAAAATCGCAGCGCATGACCCAGGTGATCCCGCCGTGAGCACGACACGCAAGAAGGTACCCGCCGCCGGACAACCACGTCATTCTGGGTGTGTATATACACTGCATCATCATGGTCGCCCCTAGAGCGGACTGGCGTCGGCACAAAAGCCCGTCGGAAAAAATGGCTTGGGGTGTCGCGGCTGGCGACAGCCATCAACTATCAACACTGTCAACGTCCTTCGTCCTCGTTCCAGCGGGTTCAACACTTGTGTCGCACGTGAGCGACAGGGCAGCAACTGCGCTTCCGGTGCGAAAGGCACTCGAAGCCCCCGTTGCGGGCCAGCGACGACCGCCCGCCTGCCCGTGGTGCTCGAGTCCGTGGCCTGGCCTCGGCTTCGGTGTCGTCGCAAGCCAAAATTTGCACGCCAGAGACACTCAGCGCGGTGCAAAGCACTCGGATTTTGTATACTCGACGAGCCGCGCCACGGCACTGAGCCCGTCCCTGTTTCGATTTACTGAGTCCGATAGGCGGGTACCAGATGGCTGTGTGCCAATCAAATCGCGTCGATAGGACCACCTGTAATTTCTTTTTATCCAATCACGTGGCTTATTCACGTATTTTGTCCAGTTAAAAGTGCGTATTCGTCCAAGCGCGCCAAATTGCAATCTTTTTAGCCAATCCGATGGCTATATTGCCTGGATCCAGTGATTGCGACGAAGTGGAAAGGCACGGTTACCAACACAGATTGCACTTGCAGCGAGCAAGTCATTGTTGGTTTGACCAGGTATCCCAAACCTCCTGCCCCGTCCATATATGGAGCCAGGCTAAGACGACCAAGATCATGCTTGCGCTCGCCCACGACAGCTCTCTTCCTATCCCCATGACCCTCCTCGACGACGACGACCGCCGCTTCCAGTGCTCGGTGCCCAACTGCAC